CGCCCGCTCCCACCGGCGGGGAAGGTGCCGGGGGAAAGCGGGGCAGAGCCGCCGGCCCCCCCCCGCCATCCCCGTCCTTGGCCAGCCTGCAGAGGGCCGCGAGGTTGGGTAGAACGGAGAGAATTCGGCTTTCGGAGGTTTGTGTTTCCCTGAAGCGCTTTGGGAAGGCTGAGAGAAGACAGCCCACCGGACAGGAGCCCTGTGCCTGCGCTGTGTCAGAGAGATGTGGAAGGAGAAATGAAAAAGGAATGAGAAATACTCGAAAGGAACAGAGGTTCAGGAAAGCAGAGCATTTCCCTCGTCAAAAAAATGCTCCCGTTGAAACACGTGAAACGTGACTGAAAAGGTGTTGACTGCTCTCCGAAGATCGGGTTGCTCCAAGATAATCGAACCACGTCCAACATTTCAAACGTAGAAATTCAGCTGAAATGTCTGCATGTTTCTTTATGGTCATCTTGCACATCATTATCCTCAACCCCTAGCACTGATACTCTTCGGTCGAAATTTCACAGAGAAATGTTTCATTGCTATGATTATACTGATCATTATAGCAATTTGGCCCATTTCTAAATGACAGCTTTCCTGCAGTTCTCTTTGGGGTGAAGTCTAGCTGGTTTAATAGGATCGTATGTAGCCCATCGTGCTAAAAAGCTCCCCAAGCCCCTTTCGTAGCTAGAACTTGCTCTGAGTTATGGAAGTCTTGCCGTCACCAGGGCAGAACAAAACATGTGCCAAAGGTCGACCGTATCCACCGTATGAAGGAGCAAGGATTATTTCTGCTTCAGAGCAGAACGTGACTTAAAGGTCAGACACCTCTGAAGCACTAACATAGCAGAGGTCAGTTACATGGCAAAAAATGATGCTAGTCAATATAAGACTTGATGAGAATCAGCGTGATAGTGATGCATGACTGGGTAAGCAACAAAAAGACAGACACCTAGAGCTGAAAAGCAGGGGAGCTAATTAATGGATTATAAAGATTTCAGCTGGAGAAGAAAGGGGAAGATCAACTAAAGAATGACATTTTGACCTATCTGTTGACGTCCCTGATATCTAAGAGGTGTGCCTGTAGGTGCATATATAAAAGCTCCTCCAGTAATGAGAATGGGACAAAATACAAGGACTTTTTCTTTTTTTTTTTTTAGGATTTTAATGCAACAGGAGGAGAATATATTTGCACTTAAGTCGCCAGAGGTTTCTTCTATAAGAAGCATAGATAAGCTCCAATACACCAGGGGCAATCATGCTGTTGGGAGCAACAATAGACACAGTAGCTTGGAAGTCTGGGGTTCGATAGACCATTCTCCAGATGACATCCACTACTTTTGCTCCATAAGGCTCAAAAACAGCATTTCAAGGCTTAGTAATGGCATGTGGCATACTGGCTAAAGTATTTTCCTACAGGACTGCTCAGGGTCATGGGATCATTGCTCATTTAGGAAAAGCTGCATTTGTAAGTGTGAAGCAATCTCTGAGGTCACTGGATAAGCAGAACATGTATTAATAACATGTGTGTGACACTAATACTTATTCTTTCACTTCCCTTCTGTTTTAGAAATAAGCTAGATACAGCTTTTAAGGATTATAAAGATCATACACGGACGTGAATTGCTTTCTTATTAAACTAGCACTGCATCAAAGCCAAAAAGAACATGTTTGCATTTAGATCCAAATCTGAAAGCACAAGAGTCTGTGTCCAGTAACCCAAAAGTGATCACAGCTGCAAAACTCAGTCTGAAAGCATAATGTTCAGAAATGCAGTTAGAGGAGCAGAAAACTTAAGCTTCTGGGAATCTTAGATATATTTCCGAGATTACATTTTCCATGTTATCCTCACAATAAGGGCTCCATCCCTACTGGAGTCTATAATATGGTAACATCAGATTACATGTTTAGAATCTCCTGGCAATTTTAATACCAAATCTGCTATGGTTGCTGATAACCTGCTTTGGAAGCACAGTATTGAACAGGGTTTTTTGCTTCAAGAGATTAACTTGTATGAAGGCTAGAGTTGCTGTGTTGAGCTGCTTCCGGTGGTTGTGAACTTGGCATTAAGCCATGCAAGTAGAATGCAATGTCCTCAGGGAATTAATTACCTACGAACCCACTATTTCTAGTTCAGCTTGGTGTGTCTAAATTAGCAGAATTGTTTCCACTAGTCAGTCATCTCTGTTTCCTGTATTGGGGAAAGATAAGAAGCTATTTTCATATCCATGATACATAAGAATTGTTTGGGTAGGAGCATCCACATAGGATTCCTAAATTTTCAGTAGACTGACAGTGTGCGCTGCGGATCATTGCAAATTTGCATTGTGAAGATTCTAAAGAGGCTCAGCACCAATTAAAAATGTAGCAAAAGTAACCAGGTTAATCTAAATCAAATTATCTTAGTTTTTTCTGTGTTAGAAGTCATCTGTTAGTGAATCCTTGACTTGCTTGCTCAACATCCACGCACATAAGCAAGAGGTTTTAAGCAACTAAAGAGCTCCACTGGTGAAAAAGCCTACAACTGTCACAGGGTTTAGGCACTGACTTTTCCACTTCAGTCAGCTTAGTCAAGGAAACAAGCTCTGTCAGATGTCTAGTAAGGGCAACGTTTTTACTCTAGATTGACAAACTCAAATGCCAGATCAAGCCCGAGAATTGCAGCAAATACATCAGAGGATTAGTTGTTTTTTTTCTGGAAAGGATCCCACTGTTTTCTATTCCTTGGTGAAATGTGGTAATTCTCATTTGAATAATAGCAAAACATCCAAGGGCTACTTTCTGCAGAAAAACTAACTGTTCTTTTACCTTTCAAGTTTTAGTTGTGTTCAGATGAAGAAGCATAGTCTGCATGCCTGCGTCAAGTTTTACAATGGATCTGCTTTCCCACATCAATATGCTTTTCCCTTTCGCACCAGCTTATCTCCCTCACTGCTCGTGTATTGCTTCATGCAAGAGCTAGGAACACTGAATTATGTGTGCCAAAAGAACAAAACCAATCCAATAGGAAAGGAAAACCCAGTCCTGCAAGGATCAGCCATTATGCCCCCAAGAAGTCAAATATGATTACTTTCGAGGCCCGAGATAAAATAACAGGCTTTTCTCTCATGCAAGAGAGTAAAAAAAGTTCAGATTTCCTTAAGTGTTTTACAGAATGTCAGCGGGTGTGTTGCAAGCACAGTTTATTTTCAGTACTCCAGAAATAGTAACCTATTCTTATTATCACAGTGCAACACTCCCCCTGGAGAAAATGAATACACATTTAGATTTAAGCATGGGAACTTTGACCAGTGAAACTCAGAACCTTATGCTCACTTCAAGTCTGAGAAATTATTCATGTAAGTTCTCAAGATCAAGTCCAAAGAATGCAGTTAAAAATAGGTTACACCCTTTGCTTACCTTTTAAGCTATTCAGTACAGACAATGACTTAAGCCGGTCAATGGCAGCTGCTCTTTATAACCAGCTTAACTTTCTGAGTGCACCAATATAATGCTGTGTGCTTGACCATCCAACTTCTACACCTGAATGGGCGCATCCAGAGCTCTCTGAAGTTGTTACGAGTCTTTCAGATTCGGTGTCCAAGTAAATACTGTTGGTTGGACCAGCTAGTCCTTGTGTACACACCTTCTTTCTGCTTACTAAGCCACCTTCCTATTCTTGCAAGCATCCTCCACATTTTTTGAACGTCACTACAGTCTTTACATGTATTCTTTAAATTTTTTACTTTTTTTAATCCTTTGGATGCTTTTTCACTGTACCTGACCTCTGTGAAGCAGCAGGTTCCTAAGACAGGGGTGTTTCCTGGTAGATAATTTTAGACTTATTTTCAGCAGATTATATGGTTATGAGAGTCCAGAGACTAATTTATTCTCAGCCGTCACTTTTCAGTTTCCAAGAGTGAAATCCAAAGGATCCTCACATAACGGATACCCCCACATTAACTGCCTGAAATAAACTTTCCACCCCAACACGCGGTGCCCTTCCTTGCTTACTGGAAACTTCCCTATCATTAGGTAACTGTCAACTGTGCAGCACTATTTGCAACAGTTTCATTCTATGTAGTGGACTTTAATCTCCCTTTTAGGGCTGCAAGGACTGTAAGAGAACCAGCACACAAACTTCATTGTCCTCAACTTCCACCCGACCGCCCCAGCTGTGCCAGCAGAAAGAAGTACTCGGTGCCTCTCTTACGAAGGCAGAGCTGTCTCTGGCTAGCACTGCCACCCTCCTCCCTGCTCCTGCCTCCTCCCCTGGTGACTGTTTATTGCTCCGGCATTCGTAGTCCTTTAGACTGAAGAGTTAAGTAACTCCGCAGCCACTTGATCCATTATTAAATGAGAACAGATCTGAATGGATCAAATGTACCGTCTTTGGGAAAACAAGGAACCCCTCTTCATCAGTTATACAAGCTTCCTCTATAGAAGGGGGAAAACTAATTAACGTATTTCTTGAGACAATTGCTTTACTGCTTTTTCCTGCAGTCCAACTAGCTTGACACATTTTACCTCAGGGATATTTACAAACAGTCTGTTTCTATTTTCTTACTGCATAATCTAAAGCAATTTTAACAGCTACACAGGGCCAAATGGCAATATGCCTTTGGAGCAGTGGTGAGGGAATTTTGCCACAGACTTACTGTGATTCAAGAAAGAGTGTGATATAAGATTTGAAAGATTATCTATGATGTCTCCTAACTTCCTGGTCCCTTCATTCTCCATAGCCTAGCGCCTCTGTACTTTTCTCTTCCCTGAATTAGCTACTGCTTCCTGACAGAAGATATAGACCTGCAGGGCACTCCAACTTCCCCAGTAACACACAGAAATCTGCTCTTAGTCAGAATTCGGAGGAAAGCAAATATAGAAATACAATGTTTCTGGACAGCCATGTTCTAGGGCAAGTGTCTAACAATATCCAGCGATTCAGTGAACAGCATGGTCTTTATTTCCTCCTTGACCATGTGTCACCAGGAAGATTTCATACTGTCTTGTAAAAATGACTGCTCAAACACTTTGGAGGAGACTTGAATAAGCAGCTTTATTCTGGCCTTAAGAGGGAAAAGGTCAAGGATTTTCCAAAACCATTAAAATGCATCTGAAATTGGAAAAAGATACATTGTTTGAAACTCACCCAGGCAGATGTAAAAAAAGATAACTCCTCCTGAGGGAATGCCCACCTTTGGAAGACACTGCGATTAACAGCAGATCTATCTACTTGGGCCCCTCATCAATTCTTTCTTCTGCCACAAGATTATTGTCACAGAGTTGGCTTGAAAATGAAACTAGTGGAAACAGAGTTTACATAGAAATTTTTGGGGAAAAAAGCAGAAATATGACATGTTACTTTCCTTCCCGCTTCCCTGCTCCCCTCACATTTGCAACAATCTCAAAATCTTTCCATGTTTCAACTGAGATCCAGTGATTTCCCAGTAATATAAGCCTCCATTCTTCCTTTCCATTTAGCTTGGTTCCCTCACTTAGTGGGAGCATATGCAGACACAACTTTTGCCATGAAGAGAATTCGGTAAGATTCCTTAATATCACCTTTTAAGGTCAGGAGGGCTGTCACAAGCAGAGGGTCATCGGCCTACAAAAAAATCCACACATAAATCCAACCTATTTTTTTTGTAGATAGAAAAAAATTAGTTGATCAAGTTCTAAACCGAGTATTTCACATCTCAGTTGTAAGATGTACCAGTTATAGCTATAGATTACCTCACTTCCCACTGTGTTGGCTCTTTTATATTTCCACGCAACGCTCATACTGCAGTAAGTAAAGTAGCAATGACTAAGCATTCTATCATCTCCAGAGTGCTACAGATACCGTCACCACATTACAGCCATGACAACTGGGCACAGCAGCAACAGAGTACGCTGCAGTGAGGGTTGGGAAAGAAATGGATCCTGTTAGCCATCAGTTAGTGTTAAATCTTATGTAACAACCAGTGGTTACCAAGAGGCACGATGTCAACCTGACACATCATGCCAGGAACTCTACTGCCTTCTTTCTGCACATGACAGCAGCAATCTTAATTTTGGAACAAGCTACTCATTCTGCCATCCCACACACAGCTCACAACAAAGAGCAGGGGAGTAAATACTTTCAGTCTCCATGAATGCCCAGGAAGATGAATCAGGAAGGGCAGTCACAGCCCTGTAGAGATGTTTGGACCTCATACCTAGGCTCTGCAATACAAAAAGGCAGAAGTAGCCAGGGAAACGGGGTTCATAAAGCAGTTAATAAAATGGAGGATCCAAAAGGCCCCACTGACTTCCAGGAATATACCAAAGGAAAGGCAGCCCACGGCCAAAAGAAATGTGAACACTGCAGCAGAATGATCCGTGTAAAGTTAGTTCTGTGTCAGCAGGACCGCAGGTTTTCTCACACAGAGGGCATTAAAAAGCTCACTTCAGTGTGATCAAAGCTGTGCCTTTTAGTTGACAGCAGCAGCATTTTGGCCTTTTGGTGCTACGTCATGCAGTGACCTGTAAGAAGTTACTCTAAGTTCTGTAAGATGCAAGTGACTAATGTTTGTTCTTTTCATCACACAAGATGAATGAAGTCTATGGTGAGGTAGCAAGCCTCCAAATCACACATATTGTTCCTGGCTTTTATTCTCGTATCAGTGTTTATACCAGCCTATACTCCCCTTGGTAACCACACGTGTTCCGTCATCCCAATGTGTCAAAGCAGCCCGTACTGCTGACATCTTGAAGATCAGCTTTTGTATTGCTCCTACAAGTCGGTGAAAACAGCTGCCACGCACTTCCAGTTTAAGCAGCAACATGCTGTAGCAACTGTAACTTACCCGAAAGTCAGCAGGTGGCACCCAAGAAACACTGATGCATTTTACTTGACCAGGCTCAATCGTTCCCTTCACAGATTCAACAGTGAATCCCTTCTGCTGCAGGAGTGGCAGGCTATCAAAACGGAACTCCACGTTCTACGAGAGACACACACAACACACCCTCATTTCTGCTCCTTCAAACACAATGACTGTTTATTAAAGGCTGCACTGCCCAAATGCTACATGTGGGCCTACGGCTTGCCAGATAGCTTCTGCCCTTTGAAACTGCAAGGATCCATCTTGTTCATTGTGTCGAGTTGTCACAAAATACTATACTGAAATAACAGGATCAGACCTGTAATTCAGTTCTGTGCTCAAACTTATGTATTTCAGAATTAGGGAAGGAAACTGCTAAATTAATTTTGTTGCTGACTTAATATGATAATGCTAATTCCTCATACTAGCCCCTGAAAAATAATCTTTTCTTTTCAAACACTGATGCTTTTATAATGTAAAGTTTGTCAGAAACGCTGAAAGTTGTGTTTTTTAATTTATAGACTGAATTTTTGACAGAAGGAACTAGTAGCCATTTGTGCACTGTCAGTATTCCTTATAGCATCTGACATAAAACTGCGCATTTTATTTTCTTCACCTTCTTAGATGCAAACTGAGCTGTTTGTATAGCTCCAACTTTCAGTTCTGTCACTGCTGGCCTTGGAGAACTCTCTCCCTCGATATAGTCCAGCATGAGGAGAATGGACTTCACTGGTTCTTGTAGCTCTAAACAAATACAAATCAAGTAAACTCCGAGACAGTCAAAACTGAGCGATTACCAGTTTGGAACAGGCATAAATTACACCAGGATGGTTCAAAACAAAGTGATGTTGTAGCAAATTCATGAGTTGGCATAGATAAGGAGATCCTTCTTACAGTGAAGCAAAAGGAGGTTTTGCTAATTTGCAATTGCAAACTGTAATTGTTAATTGTTTATCAAGATTCATGCTTGTTTTCTAGCCCCATGGCACATACATTGTGTGTACTATATTCCTACTTGCGTACGGTATGTGCTTGGATTTATTTATAGCTCAGGAGCTATGAGTTGGTTATATACTGTCTCTGAACACAGATCCTGTCCAAAGAAATTAAGGAAGGATAAATTCAAACCCCGAAACTGTGTCTGTTTCATAACAGTACGAATCGGGAGACTCCAGGATACATTATTACATATGAAATAATTTTATAGAAGTGGCAGAAAGCAAATGCATCTTAATATGTCATAGTAGCATTAAATTACAATCATTTTTTTGCAAGGTAAATTGCAAAGAAAGAAGATCATCATTAAGATATAACTGCATTAAAATGAAGAGAAAATCTTTCCTTACGAGAAAGTTTCCTGCATTTTTTTTGTATGTTACAAATACGGGCTATACCATAGTGCTTATTTGTTCTGATTCTGGAAGAGTTACCTTTAATTTACCTTTTCATAAAGGATGAGGAACATGATCGTGTCTTATCACTCACTGTTTTGTAATAAAGTGTAAGTGGTAGCACATTACCTCCTTCTAGTGCCTTCTGTGATGACGTAGGTAATGTCACAGCCAAGGACTCAATGGGCACATCTAGCGGAACTCCCCCTTCCACAAACATTGGATGATCTCTTGCTGCACCCTTTAGGTGGATCACATGGGCTATTTTCTATATAAGACAAGAATGCTTCACATGCCAGCTACAGCTTAAGTACCAATGTAACTGCAATACTGACACAGCAGCATCAGTTGCATAGAAATTATTACATCATCTGCCTATATAAATGCCAAGAGGCCCTGTACTCTAATGCAAGAATCCTGCATCTTCCCCTTGTCTTGTCCGCTCAGGCACTTCTGTTTTAAACAACCTTTCATTCTTGGGCAACGTGCCTCAGGAGGGGACTGGAAAAACTATTTATACTAAAGCCACTGAAAGAGGCAAAACTTATCTGCCTAGTTTGTGAACTAGGACCAGTCTCCACTCATCTTCAACTTAGTCCAATTTGCATTCTTAACTGTAATTCCAAAGATAATCCAGAGATACAAAATTTGCAAGGAGAGAAACAGTGCTCACTTGCTCACTACCAGTTTCTGCTCTGTGTTTGCAGTGCCTGCTGATGGTCATTAGTCGGCACCCTTCATTAGCTTTTGGTTAGTCTCTTTTGGAACACGGCATAAAGCCACCTGCTATGCTGCCAGCCTGTGTATCCTGACCTGGGCTCCATCTAAGCTCAACTGCTGCTCTACAGATGGAAACCTCCTTGCTCATGCTGAGTGACTGCAGAAGCAGCTTCCTGGACCTCAGAGCACCTGTCAGTTTGCACGGCGCAGGTGTTGCTTCATTCTCCGCTGCCCTTAAATGCTACTTGCAGAGAATCCACTTGGAGCTGTGCTCAGCAGTGTGGCAGCAGCCTAGCTCCCATCACCTCTCATTTACGCAGTGCGGACAGCTGGGCAGAAAACAGGACTGAATCCCAAGTCACTATTGCTATGGATTAATAACGGAATATTTAAAACTTTAAAAAAAGTCAGTGGGCCCCAAACCTGCCATCTCCTACCTATACCTAATCTAATAAAGATAATACTTCTGCCTACAAATGCTGTCTACTAGATATAATTATTTGAAACTCCTGTTAAGACCCATGGTGGTAAAAATCACCGTGGGTCATATTCAGACATTGATTTCATAATCCAGGTATCTTGACTGTCTCACCTTGCCAAAGAGCACAAACTTGAGACGGTCAGAATAGTACAGACTTTCATGATCAGGACTGAAAGTAACAATAAAATCCTGACTCTTCCCAGCAACAATTTCTCCTTCTGTTGGAAAGATGCTGAACACACTTAAGCCATTATAGTTCTGTGTTCCTGGTAAATAAAAATGAGGATACAAATAAGAAAGGACAACAGCTGTGCTTTACTACTTCATATATTTTAAACCCATTTAATTTTTGTTGGAACAGCAAATAAATAAGACCAGATACATGGTTTTGCAGCAGAACAGGGTGTTAGAAATACCAGATAAATCCATCTATCAGTTTAATGCATTCATCTCTAGAGGTACTAAAGAAGCATCACCAAACCCCTCCTATATTCTAATGTGTTTTTACAGAGGTGGACATCCCTAAATGTAATCTTTAGTATGCAATTACTGAATCTAAATAAACCCACGCAAACACTGCTATCTCCTTAGTTGTGGATATTTGCTCAGGCTGCATAAATTTACAGCTACCTATACTGAAAGAATTAGTACAGCTCCTACTGGGGAAACAGAATTATGCCTTTAATTTCAGCAATGTGATGCCCCAGGTTTTGACAGTAGTGTAGATCTAACAGGGCCAAGTAATGCTGCTTTATACTTCATGAGTCTTTAACAAAAGAAAAAGAGAAAATTAAAAACCAAGTTTACCAACAAACTCTGTTCTTTGTAAAGAGGACGTAATAAAGGATGGAAGTCTCTGCTGATCTTTGTCCCTTGTTGATGAAAGTGAATCTAGTTGTACGGAGTATTGCAGGGTCAGCGTGGAAGTGTTCTGGATCTGAAGACATTAATTCACACAACAGCATTTTCATTAAGAAAACTGATTATCAAGCCTGTAGGATCCATAGTTTGTGAACTGGCTGAATTTGTTTCACTGCATTACTGTACTACTGTGTACCCAGATGCCACCAAAAGCATGTGTTATTGCTACCCATAATGGATCATGTCAACCCCTGCCCCCCAACAACAGGGAACAGGCTCCTTTTAAGAGTCTTGCAGCAAGTAATATATTTGGGTTATTGACAGACAAAATCTGAGAGGAGAAAAATTATGCCTAGATCTTGGCTTGTTTCTCAGTCTGTGGGCATCTGCAGTATGTGAATGAGTGAATCGGTTAAACTTCCCTAGACTGTACCGTGGCAGACCCTCATGTGTTCTTTGTAGGACCAATTTTGCATTTCACCCACGTACCTCTGTCACTGCTTTGTGTGGACACAGAGCAGCCTCAGTTGTGATAGTACTAATGGAGAGATTAAAGAAAGAGAGCAAATATTTCTAACACTGGTAAAAGCAAAGGCATTTCTGACTTCACATCCCTCTGCATACCAGCTAGATCTACAGAGAAAATCCCACAGACCATTTCTCCTTTTCTTTTATAGAAGGTACTGGATCTCTATTTTTTGTATGGACTGCAGGCAGGACAGAAGCAGCTAACGAGATCCTCCCTGCACAGCTTTGTTACCTTTGGCCTGAAACTATCTCAGCACCAAATCACTCTGCCAGATGCGCTTTTAAAGCTATATTCTTTTGTCTACAGTTTGCCACTCAGCCTTATGTTCTGCCAGACTAGAAACTACAGAACTCCTCTTCCTCCTTACAAAAATTGCTGATCTGCTTTCTGGTTCAGCACAGAGGGCTTTACCTTGAATGTGGAAGTCACCTTCTCTCTGGCTATGACATATCCCATATCGAGTACTTCTTCCACAGAGCAAACAGTTGATGGCATCACCCCACAACCAGTGATACTTAGGGTTAGATTGGTTTTTGCCGTCCGGATGTCCAGCGTTTCACAAAACTGCCAAGAGGATGTCTGTTAGCCCATTTGCTGAAGGAAAACATCCCCCATCCCTCCCAACTGACCCCCCCTCCCACGAATGGGCCATTACTACAGAACTTCTGGATTTAGTGCATAGACAAAGATCCAAATGTTGGGAAAGGCTATGCACAGGTAACAAGTTTTTCTTACTATTATACAGCCTTATTCCAGTCAGTAATACGTGTATATTACACAGCCTGTTACATCTCTCCATCTCTCCTCTTTTACTCCATTACTGTTGTATCTCTTACTCACCCATTTATTCTCATTTGGACAAAAAGAGATGATGAGGGCTTTATTTTCACCTGGCTCAAGCATTCCAACTGGTCTGACCAACAGGAAGGGACCATTGGGATTCAGAACTGAGAATCCTAGCTAAAATAGTGCAACTCAAGGAAAAAATTTATAAACAAAGATTGGGGAAAAAGATGTAAGAACAGATTCTAAGTATTGTTCAGACCAAAGACGTACAAACCAACTGTCTATAAGCTTTTTCAGAGTTCAGTAACTAACTCAGAGAAAAGAAGAACTAATCCAATTTTTTTTTTTCCCCCCATTGAATTCAAATAGCTGCAAGATCCTTTTCCAGTCAATAAGATTTCCACATAACTCCATTTTCAGATTTTGCCTGGAATGGGTCATTAACAGCCCAAGATCCGGGACACGCCTTCTCCTATATTATCCTACACAGTTTAACCCAGACAAGCCAGTGTAGTACCCTCTTCTTACAAGATATTCAGAAATTCAGAGAAGCATTGTGCAAAAATTAAGGAGTTGGTTCCATTTCACACTATGTCATACTGTAGTGAAACTAGCTTTGTCATCAGTACCTTATACTCTTTAGAAAGTGGTTAAGTGCTTCTCAAGTTTGGCTCTATGCAGAATTATTTGCAGTTAAAAGGGTGGAATGGAATTAGCTTTCCAGTAGGTCACCTAGGCTCGTCTGATATATCCTTCACATCACCTGCCTCACTCTGAAAGATGTGTATTCAGTCTGAAATCTGCTACCTCCTACTTGCTTTAGTGTCAAACAGTTCCTCCTAGAGATAAAGAGTCAAATTAAACCGAAGCTGAATGGCAGATTAACTTACATGTTCCAAACAAGGATACTTCCAGCTTCTCTGGGGAGATATTTTGTATTGTAATTCGCTTAATCATTCTGTGGCCTGACAGGAACGAAAACATTTCAAAAAGTGATGATGCTCACTCATGCACTACCATTCCTCATTTTTACTCATGCTTCTACCTAGGCCAAACATTCATTCCATTTCTATGGCTAATACACTAGTCAAAGCTCACCAAAATACTTTCAAATTTGGACAGTCACTTGTAGAGCTTCCGATTCCATGTTTTGGGATCAAGCCTGCTTTTTTACATGCCTCAGCTGGCCACATAGGCTCCTAATTTTCCACCTAATTACCTATTACAGGGCTAATTTCTATATTGACTTCTGAAAATCAAGGGAACAATGTAAAAGAAAATGCAATACTATGCTCAGAAGAGATTAACATCAGACAGAAAAAACTCAAAACTTTAATTCAAATTTCATACCTACTGCAACATCACCAAAATTGACCGTGTTTTTTCCATTATCTGAAGTGATCACAACAGATGGTGCTACAGCTGGACAGTGCAACTCCAAGTACAAAGTGTTGTAAGGGCTAGAGAGATAGTAGAAGGATATTTGCTCTTGGACCATACAGAAATAAAAACTATTGTCAGAAATCTGTTCTTATTCTGTTCATATCACAGGTGATCATTAAATTGGTATTACAAGTCAATACATAATTTTTGGCAGCTGACTTTTTTGTGTATGCCTAAGCAGAAATATGAACTAAATCTGGCTTAAATTTTTCATACAACTATTCTTTAAGCTGCTTTTATATTTATGTGTTTGATTCTTATCCAACTAGTGGGTTGTAAGCATGAGTTTCTACCACTGACCTATGAAGTAATTAAGATCAGAAAGCAAATTTCCTCCCCAAATGAATAAATTAACATGCCCACCGTTTCCCCCTCAAATTTCTGAACTATCATGAATTGCAAACATCTAATTGCAAATACCTGCAGCTTAGGTTTCCAGAGCCTTTCTTTTCATCGATCTGTCCACTTGCAACAAAGCACGGTATGATGAATTTTTCAAACCTCCCACTGAAATTCCTCATCAGGAAAGCCTGGGCTACCATATAAGCATCTGAACTAGAAAATCCAAGAATAAGAATCATCTTAGTAAGTGAGAGAGCAAGAAAAAAAAAATCAAATAGATACCTACTGAGCTATTTGCGTTTACTGTTTCTTGGTCATATATTCAAAATTGAGCATAACAGTGAAACTCAGCAACTGTCTTGATACATAGAAATGGACCTACCCTACTAAGCAGCTTGCTTTTCTCACCAAAAGAGAATAAAAATTATAAACCCAGATAATAGATGTTATACTGAATAGATGTTATACTGTTAAACTCAGTACGATTTCCTTATGTTGAATACATTAAGTATTCCAGTGTCTTCCAGTACTTCCACATCATTTCAATGATATGTAATCACACATGGTCACATTTCTGTAATGCAATATGCCAAGCTATACTTCATAATGGGAGTTTTCAAATATAAATTTTACTTTTGTGACCTGTACTGAAAGTATTTAAAAATTATAATTAATGGATTGCAATGGACATGGGATTTTAGTCAAAAATATCTAATGTCCAGTACAGCCAAATGCCTGGTGTTTAAGCATGTAATTACTTCAAACACTTCTAAATTCCTCAGGTTAGGCAGAAGTGTGGTTCTAAAAAGTTGAATTATATGCTAAACAAGGGACCTCAAGTATCAGATTTTGCATCTAAATATCCAAGTTTCTAGACAGCACGTGCTATTAATGTTAATTCTCACTGAGGGACACATATTGTAAAATGACTATTTAAAAAACACATTTTTACATTTCCAAGACTGAAGATGACCATGGCTGATACGATGGACTATGTAAGCCCCCCAAAAAACAACCCATGGATATGGGCCATCAGATGGTTTCCATCTGGGCTGAATGTATTCAGCTCTGTTAAACCTGTTCAGAAAAAGATGTATTAGTAGTAGTCTCTTTTGGTACCTAAATTCAGCTTTCTAGTTGCCCTTTAAAATAACACCCTTGCTGGTTCAGCCAAATTTGCCCAAACAGTCACATCTCATGCTTTCTGATATATTCTTTGAAGTCTTCAATCCCTCTGATGCATAAAGGGATTCTTTGCCTTACATGAGAGGATACAGCTGTGTGGCTTAAAAGCAGTACTAATTTTGGAAACAGCCTTTGCAACATAGCTAAAGCTATTTCTTCTCCACAGATTGCTTTCTTGTCTACCTATAGGCTTTAGTAGATTTATTACACTACTTATAAAGAGAATGTTGTCTATGTAGTACAAGATGCTTTTGCTGACTTACTCAGGCTTTAAGTCTTCGGATTGTGGTTGTTCAGAAGTACACAGAGAAGTCAGGTATTTACTGCCTCCATCCCTTACAAGCTGTCTGCAAGACTGCTGTTTGGTAATGGAAATGCTTAATTTCTTTCCCTCTCTCTTTTCATCTTTCTTCCTTTTCTGCAAATACACACACGGAGACATTATACACTGAGGGTGATCACTGGTAATCCAATCAAGACATCAGTTTACAGATACACAGTCCCTGGCCCAAGGCTACAGAACCTAAGAGGTGACAGAGTGCATTTATCCCATACGTTTCTAATAATTCTATGATTCTATGAATAATGTAAAATTAAGTTGAAATGGACATATTTTACTCCGTCTTAAAAAGAGTTCCCCTATTGGAGCAGACAAGTAAAAAGACTGTCTCTCATGGGAATTTTACCTATTTATCTCATAATTAAAGACAACCATAGGTGCTTACGTAAATTAATTGACCCACAGCATTGCATATGAAGTCCATGTATGCTGTTAATCTGCAAGAAGTATAGAAACTTTTTTTTTTTAAGAGTACTTGCAGTTAGCATTTGCAAGAAAATCCTCTAGGAATGCTTTTGAAATTGTTAGCATGAAATTAAATTATTACTCAGTGAACAGACTACACATTAAGTGCACCAGCACAGTCACACTCTTGTCCTTTATAGGCAGGTCTTATATGGATCGTGAGTTTGGGCTTCATTAATATGCAAATAATTTTATGATAAAAATACCATCCAGAGAAACAAATATCTGGAAGTAACAGACCAACAGCATGTGCTAGTTCTTAGCATTCCTTACTTGTATTTCTGCCCCTGTCGCAGCTGCTCTGCAAAGCCTCCGAACTGCCTCTTCTCTGATTAGCTGATCTGACAATGTTGGTCTGAAGGACACTTGAATCAAGCTTTTCTGGGAGTGCAAGAGCATACACAAGAATGATAGGCAAAATTCAGCCCTCATACATGCATTATACCTACAAAGCTCAATAGGAGCATAAACATAACAGCAAAAAATTAACAAATAAAATACAATTTTTTTTCCAAGTGAATAAGATGATCCTAAGGATAAGGTCACTTGCAGCTTTTTTGGAAGTCCACTGTGTTACAGTGGGCTGGTTTTACATGACCACTATTGTTGATATTTAAACATTCTTCAAATAAATCTTAATGACAACACTGGGGAAAGAACATTCAGGGTGAAAGCTCCCATTAAGCATTAGCCAAATTAGATGGTTAACCCTTCATGTCTGCTTTAAAACATTATTTCAAACAATATAAAATATTCCAGCTATTCTCATAATAGCTGACATTTGAGCTTCGTTTACAAGTGACAACATTTGTAGGGATGTAGATGACCAAAAGATTTGGCAGAACACTTGACGTTTAAAGTGAATTTACCTTCCCCGGCAACACAGTTCCAACAGAAGGTGTAATTGTCACTGGACAGTCTTCTGGCACACAGAATTCAAATGAAGTGGGTCCAACAGGGGCAACTTCCCCATTGCCAATTCTTGGGACAGCATGAGTGAAGTGGTTGACACTCGCATGGGAATTCATCACATACAGTTTTGCTGTAGACACACCATTTAAAGCTGTTGCAGCAAACTGAACTAAGGAATGAGACAATTCAAGAGGTGGGTGGACTCCAACTGCTTTGCATGACAGCTTGAATTGTCTAAAAATAAACACATGATAAATTGTCTCAGCATAAAATAGTCTCTTAATCAGCCCGGAAAATAGGGAACTAATCCTGTAGTCCCTATTTAAGCAGAATTTCAAGCTTGCAATGGGAATTTTGCCTAAAGATGAACAATAATACTATCTATTTTTAATGCACAATTGGCTAGAGTCCCTACTTGAATTCTTCCTCTGTGAACTTCTGGAAATACATCCAGTCAAATCAAAGTTTATGCCATCATTATTTTAGTAGCATTAGCTTAATGTATGAAGCATTTTTACCAAAAAAAAAAAAAAAAAAAAATTCCTTCAGTAATTCTACTGGAAAAGCAAGCAGAACATTGCAGGTTAAGATGACCTGGGGCAAACTTGCAGCTTGGGTATGCAACAAGGATAAATTTTGGGTGAGATATGAAAAGTCATGTCAGTAAAGACAGACACTTAAACGAAGGATGAAACTAACAGGCACTGAGCAACTCTTGTCAACTGGAGAATTCCTAGCTGCCTCACATTTTTTTCCTAGCCTTACCTCTTCAAAGTAGGCAGGGATTTAATTTCTGAACTAGCTTAACAGTGGAAATCCAGTGTGATTTAGACTTCTAGATTACATATTACTGAATCAGTTTCTTAACATACCTATTGATCTCTGACTTGCAGGTTAGTTCAAAGCTGTACTCTTTTGCCTTGTCAGCTTTAAAGATAACGTCCAATGTCAGGCTTTCAAGGGGAAGAAGAATTCCAATTCCGTCATTGGGTTGAATTTCAACAAACTTCAGAATGACAAGATAAGAAATTATTGTTATTAAAATAAGAAATTATGAGTTAAATTATCAAATTATTAAATAATTTAAAATAAGACATTACTGGCGAGGTAAGAAAATTTTGTTATTAAATGTACAAATCTCAGGAAACCACAAACCTTCTAGTAAGAAGCTTTCATTTGAGTTAGTGACTAGTGTCTGACTGATGTGCAGATTTCTAATCTCAAAGTAACTTGAAAGGCATTAAACCCATTAACTCAGACTTCAGTAGAATTTTTTCCCCAGCTTCTCACCATCTATGGTAATCACCTTTCTCTAATGATGTTTATTTATTCTTCATAGACAACTGAATGAAATATGATAAGAATCTCAACAGTTCCCCCTGTATCTTTGAAGATCCGATTCCTGTATGATGTGCAGATACCATAGCGACAAGTAGCATTTTAATAACTACAAATGCATATTGGTTTGTGTTTATGGGTTGATGATGATTCAGGAATGTCTCCTCATCCCATTTTAAGCTAATCATGAAACACATGCTGTGAAGTAAGCTTTAACGAAGCTGAATATTCCAATTTCTTTTAGCTAACTCCTTGATTTTAATCCCTAGTACAGCAGAGAAAGGGAGAATGTCTAATTAAATGTCAAGTTCCTCTAGCTCTGATTCCAATATGCCATTCATATGGTGATCATCATGCTATTATGAAGCTTGAACAGCTAACATTTTGCAAAAAAAAAAATAATAATAAAAAAAAATTCAGTAGACCTAGCCCACACAAAACTGGCAGCTCCTGTGATTAATTTAGCTTCCACATCAACTTAAAGCCAGTCAGAAAATACCTAGGCATGGTTCAGGGGATGATTCCCAATAAGCAGTGTGGACATGGCAATCCTGCTCTAAAGACAAAGCATTTAGGCATTTGGATGCAAACTGTATGATATTCCTCAGCCTCAAGGCAAAAGCAACAGCCCTAAGCCTGTTTTATTTAGTAGTATAAGCGACCTGTGAGTCTGAAAGGAAAGTGCACCAGGTATTCTGTTAGTAGATTTGTTGGCGTAAAAAATCGGTATTCTAATAGCATAAAGTTAGCCTAATAATATTATGTAGATGAGAATAGTAAAATCTCCTCAAAGATGTTTATACTGCTTGGAAAATGCTTAGGGTAGAAGATGAAATTTACACAAACCAGTACCAGAACTAACCTGCATGTTTCCACAGTGCTGCAGGCAGAAGTATTTCCGTGGGTTTGCAAGAAACAGTCATGATTTATTTTTATTGAAGCATGTTTTCTTAATAATTAAATATATTTTGATACAAGAAGAGATGTGTGTGGGATAACTACATACCTCTGGAAGTCCCACAAATCCAAACTCTTGTGGCAAGATGGATTTGTTCGTTAGCGTGACATTTGTCTGCACAGCTTCATAGACTGTGCAGTATCCAAAATTGATTTGTGCTGGACTGATTTCCAAATCAGAAGTAGTAACAATTGCATGGACAGTAATATTAACTTTTTTAGCCTGAAACAAACGCAAAAGCACAGGATAAAAACCTCCATCTGTAGCATTTAAGGACAGGATTTAAGTGAAATGTCATCCAAAAAGTAACTGCAAAAAAGTTATTCTACTCTATTCCTTGACAATAACACATGCAAATGTAACGTATCTATCTTGAACTTCAGCCTCCTTGTTCTCGAAAAACAAACAATAGGAAATATCTCTTTGATAAGCAAAATAAAAAAAAAAATCTGTATCTCAAAATCCATATGCTAGAATGGAATCACACCTGCATCTCCAGGAAATGTAAACTCTAAGAACATGTGACATCTACAGTACAGATCAAAATAAAAAGATTGTGCTATGGTATCTGATAACTCTGGTACAAAATAAACTACTAGGGAACAGATGAGCACTAACTAGAAAGGGTTTAACTTTCTGTATTGTAAACACGCTGACAAGAAGAAACTATAAAATTGGTGTTATCACTTTAAGCGCCTTTTACTATTACCATAGGACTTCAACTGGTAAAGAACTAATCTAAGATTAGGTATAATTAAGTGAACATCCACTAAAATAATTTACACCTATTGTCAGTCTGATAACCAGCATAATAAAAATCACTAACCTTATCCACAATCAGTATTGTCACTGGAACTTCCAGAACTCTTGTCTCTTCATTAAAACGTCTCCCTGCATCTTCAGGAAGAGAGTGCCTGAAAATCAAAAAGTACATTCAATTTCATTAAAATACTGTGGCTGTTTTCTAGTTAAGAGGAATAATAAACTTTTGATGGATAAATTTCTGAACAAAAAAACTCCAACAAACCAAAAAAATGCACAAAACATATTACTTAAGGTCTAAAAGTTTTATTATTCACAGCTTTTAATCTTAACACAGCCTTTGTGCTCAAATAGGAGTATTCGCATATATAGTTGGTTAAGCATCAACTCCAATGCTTCACTGAAGTGTCACTACAATCTTGTATGCAAGATATACGCAAGTATTAGGGAAAACGGTGGAAGAATGGTGGAAGAAAATGCCAATCAAAAATTAGTGACCTATGAAGTTCCAGTTTCTGACCAAGAAAGAGAAGGTGCAGTGAGATCAGAAACATTATGGACTTGTCACAGATTTCCTATAGAATGGCACACCTCCAGACAATCTGCTCTGAGCAGGTATGCACAAATTGCAAGGGTATCTAGCAATGAAGTTAGAATAATTGACCTTGTATGTTAATGTTGGAATTATTGTTTATTTTTTTTAAAAACAGCATTTTGGACACACAAGAGTTTAAGGGAGTTATTCACAGGGGTCTGCATCCATTTATCCTTTCTTAAAATGCCATCCAGTCATTTAAAATTCTGAAAAACTTAAAGCTTACTTTAGAATATAAGCCTTCTGCATCTTTGCTGCAACCACAGCATATAACCAACCCAACCTAGGCAATTGTTTCCTTTTGACACTGACGTTAGTTAACTACCAGCCAGTTTGAGGCAGAACCAACTGCATCCCAAAGAACACAGACATAAATAAAGTGAAACAAACTTGGAGACCAATAGTGTCTGACTATATACCAGATTAGTAATTTATAAGAAATATGTGGGTTTTCTGTAGCTGTGATAGCATCTTGCTATCATAAGCTCAATTTCAGAGCTTCAAGCCAAGACAATACAAAAACTCTAGCGTATTTAGCTCTGCTGGTCTATTTATAGTGTCTTACAGCATCAGAGTGAATTGCTTCCTGTTCTTAGGTCTCCACAGTGATAACATTCCTACTACTGCTACTGGAATTACATGCAATTTTTGTAATGTATTGTTAAAGAATAGTTAATGAATAAATAGCACCCACTCAGTCACCACAGTAATCTGAAATCTTGCTGGCTGTTATTCTGCAAGTCTGAACTGTGACTTTAGAAGGTGATCTTCAAAGGTATTGCTAACTTGTTTAAAGATAGGAACTGGAGTTAAATACAAGGTAGGAATAAAGTATCAGCTTTCACTTTGTCACAGGACATTACAACAGCAGAAGAAATCAATGTATTACAAAATAATCCAGAGGGGGAAAAAAAATTATTGTAACTGTAAATACACAGTGATGGAGTCCAAATTAGCTGTTATGCCTTGGGGAAAAGATACCGAAATCCTTCAGATAGTTCTCTGAAAATGGCATCTTCATGCTTAAAAGCCATTAAAGAAAAGCATAAAAGGCAAATCAGATTTAGACTGCCAGCATCTGCAGGACTAGTTCCAAATGCAGAAAAACTAAAAGCTGTGGTATTTGGGAATTCTGAAAGTCAGCAGATTAGAGAACTTGCCTTCAAATAAACAGAAAATGTCTGATTCAAACACCCAGAAGGTTATGAGTATTGTAACATCTGACCAAGCATTTCAGTGCGGAGAAACTTGGGAGAGCTTCCCAAGCCTTCAGTCCTCTATCTGTTCGCTTAGCACTGCTAAATGAGTGTTTCTTTTTACTTTTGTGTTACTTTTAATATAGCTATTCTTTCTTCTGAGAAAAACAAGCTTATAATACTAAGTCAATGAGGAGGCATTTACAGAAATGTGTCACTAGCTCAGTACTTCACATCAGCTTGTACCAAGCTCATCTTTCCGTCATACTCGCACTCCCCCTGTGTTAGGTCTTTTAAAACTGATCTGTATACTGAAACAGCCAGATACTTATTTTGTGTGTCAGAAATGCCTTAATCTCATCAAATCTCCTTTTTGAAGCTTCCCCATTTTTCAAAGGAAGATTAATGTCCTAAATCCAAGCTATGCTTCTATCCACTCAGTAAGTGTAACACTGCTTTGCAGCATCTGAAGTTTAGGAACTGAAAAATGTCATAACAATGGTTACTGTTGTTGTAATCTGATAGGATTTGAGATGTTGGAAGAACTGTAAATACTTTTAGTTCTTTGAATATTAACCTGGTGAAAATTTCAAAATCAGTAATTAGACTCTCCATTTAAAATCCAGAGATGCTGAGCCCATCAGCGAAAATCCAAATATACTTACATCAATGGGACTGGATAATCTATAGGAAAAAAGCAGCAGGTTTACAGCAGCAACCAATGCAGAAGCCGATGAAGTATTTGGCTGTACGCCAGAATTGAGATCTATATAATTTAATTTATATTTGAAAAGAAACGTTCTGCTAAATTCTTTAGGATGGCAATGACGAGGTAAATGAAATTAACAGTGGTCAACAAGATCTCTTGAATTTAAATTTTGAAAACCTGAAATTCTTTGTTTCCTATAACTGAGCTATGTTTGTATATGTAGATGTATCATGAAATGGAGAACAGAAACTTGCTGGGGAAAGTCTTTTAACATCTTAGACAGTGTTATATAAAATGCCACATGAAATTCAAGATCAATATGTTCATATTTTGGAGAAAAATGCACATGGGTAGGAGAGATATGAACAGGAAGCCCAACCATTCTTAGCTTAATCAGCAAGCACAGGAGTTCTTCTCCAGAAATTATTTAATCAGTGATCCATGAAGTAGCCACCTGCCTAGATAGCCTCTCTCTTGTATAAGAATAGCTTCCCCACAGAAATGGGAGCAGCCTACCAGGAATGCAACTGCTAAGATTTTCACACTACTGCTGTCACCACAGGAAAAGCATTTCCTCACAGGTATGTGATCCAAGTTAATTTCCTCCTTGAGCATCTGGCAACTTTTAAGGGGGAAGGAGGGGGGAGACTAGCACTGCATTGACACCAGCAGTGTGAAGTCCAGCCTGCTACACTGTGAAGGAAGAAAAAAACCAAACTTAGACCTGCTCAGGTTTTCCACTGACAGCGTCCTACAGATACTGTCTTAAATACTGAAAAGATTAATGTTGTTAGGTTACCTGGGCAGAAACTTCAATTGCACACTGAAGGAAGACTGAGCTTGAATGTAACCTGTTTTTGGAAGCAGCTCCATGTGCTTACTCAATTCTTTGCATACTTCAAACTTCAAACGCAGCGTGGCTTTTGCTCTGCAAACAAATCAGACATGCTTAGGTGGCTTTGAGACTACCCATACTGCCATCTCAGCAACATTTGCTCTTGGAGTTTGGTCCCCCCTCCTCCACCCTTGCATCTCTACATTACGATTATAACAATTCCAAGCTTCCATTGAAAATGATGGGCATGTAAAACTGCTACAGCAAAATCACATAGTTATAGTCTCTTTTAAGTACAGAAAACAAGATTTTGGAGGTACTGTAAGTAAACCCGGGTGTATTTTAAGCAATATACACAGCTGATCAGAACATAATTATCAAAGCACAGCACAGTATTAAGTCAGGTCAGGGGAAAGTCAAAGCCAAATTATTGTGAAATAGCGGCTAATTATTTGCTCCTAACATACACTCCCTCTATCTGAATCAACAGCAATGACTCACGTAATGTTTGAGACACCTAATTGGTCCTAGCTGCAGCACAGAACCCACTCAAGATGGAAAAGGAGTATTCTTCTTGTAATGCTGGATCTAGGTTATGTAACAATTGGTGGTGGGAGGGATGCAGCAAATAAAAATCTGTTATGCTGTCTGAGAAACAGAAAAATGAAGACCAGTGACCCCTAAGTGGGGCCAAGGATACTTAGACGCTGCTCAAGTGGCTAACAAGCACTTCATGTCCCAGCCTGTAGTCAGAAGAATCAAAAGAACGAACCTGAAAGAGCATAATACACCTAAAACATCAACATGTACCCAGTTTGTGAATTCCATTCATCCTTATTAGCATCATAATTATCTCAAAACCTTCAATACCAAAAATTAAGCCCGTACAGGCAAGAAAAAACCCTCAAACTCGGGGGGGGGACACATCTTATGCCAGAAATGCACCAAGAGTGCTGCTACTTTTGGTTTTTCTCCCCAAAACCGTGGTGACTTCTTTTAAATAGATGTGAATTCACAGATCTCTTGTAACTTCTCTTCTAACAGCAGACATACTATAGGGCTAGAAGTCATAGTGTGGCTAAGCTGGTACTGCCAGTTCCTCTGCTAAAACTTGTGATCAATTTGCCCTATCAATAACATATTGGAAGCCAAGAAACATCTCCCCATTTACTAAATTCTGGCCATATTATAATATGATAATATAGCGATAGCCACGAACCATATCCTCCTTTGGAATTTTATGTCTAAGTGCAAAATTGCCAAGCAATTTACAAATATTTCAGCTTGTCATTTTCCTTCTCTTGGACTGGTTTACAAGCTGTCAGTCCAGATGGTCTGCTCTAAATCAACTGCAATAGCATGTGGTACTGGGAGCCTGGAATGATTTCTGACTGTTGACAATCTAAGAGAACTATATACTACTTCATTAAATCAGTGCAGATTATAACCTGCCGAAGAAATTACTTTTCAAAGTGATTTATATTGGACAGGATTCTGATAAGACACTTTCACCCTTTATGCTGCTTATTTATGCTTCCTGATTACCATATACTATGTGACCAGGAAAAAAAAAAACAAACCAAAGCCCAAACCAAAACCAGTATTCACTAACATTTTGCAAGTCTGCAGAGCTTGCTGGTGGACTTAAGTGCCAGATCTATCTAACTTGAAAACTTGATCTTCTACTTATGCTATAGACTACAATATCATAGATTGCAGCAGCCGTAAGATACAGGCAAGTTCTTTCTGCTCTGCTTCTGTCAGATGTTTGTGTGTACTGGTGGTGAACAAAAGGCTATTCTAACACATCATGTCCCTCAAGTCTGGGTCAGTTTTTGCCCCCAAAATATACAGAATTCTCTTGCTACAAGTTTTAGTTTGGGTTGTTATTTTTCTTTTTTGCTATAACTAGTTAGGGATTGAAGCAGAAATCTGTAAAAATATTCCTGAATAGCAGGATTATTTAAGTATCTAATTAACATTTAAGAATCTCTGTTCTAGAAGTTACGCTAATAAGATTTCACATCTACTGGATCTGAACTTTAGTTCTCACTAGCTAAGGCATTTCAGCAGTTGTTAGACAAGCAGCCTTTTCAGCTGGGCTGGGGTAATCTTACCTTTGGTCTCCTTCAGTGAATGATTGCTATGAGCATTAGTTCACAGACAGCACTGTAGTAACTCTTTACCTGATACACAGTTCACACGTAAAGCTATTGTAACAAACTATTGTCTTTGGTTGTAGGTTGACAGCAGTTTGGATGTTTTCTTGCTAGCCTGATAATTCTCTTAGTTTCTGGATCCTTTGTCTGCACATAGTTCCAGACCATAGACCTTAGCAAGACTGCCTTTCCACAGTTTTTCACTATTGCAATTAAAATACAGCTACTTACTAGTCTAAGCTAAGAAATTGTTCTTGACTGATAGTATTTTATAGCTATTTTCAACAGTTTAAATTCATTCTGTTTGAGAAGTTTGACATGTACCGTGTAACAATGAGGAATCCTCTTTCTGAAACGTGCTACAGAAAAATTTCAATAGCTACTACAGGAAGAAACTTCTCAGGCACCACATCTGAATGATGAAATCTATCTACTTTTGCAGGATAAAAAGTTGAGACATGATATTCCTGGACATGAAATACTTTGAATTTCAGCCCAAATGACTGTATAACAAAGACATCTTTTCCTAACTATGGAGAATTGGGTGATAAATCAAAGACTTGATTTGCCAAGGTACTAAGGCCAGTTCACTACATATTAAGTCCTCTTAATTTAGTGAAAGTTGGCAAAGGATCAGCACTTTTTTCCCTCAGTTAAGAAGTTTTGCCCTAAGCAATTTGACAGCTTCTATCTTTGGGATCCCCTTGAAATCTTTAAGTTTTCATTAGGAGAGTTATTCCGCTGCTATACTTACAAGTTTTATCCCTGGGTTATCTAGACCAAGTAAAATCACTTACATAACTTGTGCTTGTCATATCTGTAAGCTGAATTTCTGAGATAACAGCTTTACTCATTTCTTTCCAACTGTGAAGAATCTCTGCAGTCTGTAATTCTGGTAAGAGGTTTAGAATGGATGCCTTCTACAGAACCAATCCCACCCCCACCTTCCCACAAACCCACCCCAATCCTATTTAAATACAACCTAAGAAATGCAAATTGTTAAAATAAGCATTCAGTAGTGACTACATTAGGTAGAGGGAAGACACCCACACCTGAAGACAATTAAGTGAGTAAAAGTTCATGTAACCACTCTCTGATAGCATGAAATCTCTGGGAGCCAATGAACTGAAAGACTATCTTTATATTACAGTGCAAACAGAAGCAGTCTTCAGACATTACTGACTTGGACTACAAAAACACCCACGTATTTTTTCCCCTGTAAATTAGTATTTTGTCATTATCTGTGTACTTACAAGGTATCTGTCATGCCAGTGCAGTGCTTAATGGCTGTATGGGTTAGGAAAAGTTGTACCCTTCCCATTCTACAGTAAATGCAAAAGGACTGACAGGATTTATCCAGCATCATGTCCCAAATCTGCAAAGACTGGTGATTGACCTTCTCAATAAAGAACAGTTGGCATGAGGCTGGCTTCCAGATCCTAAGTCTGCCATAAACTTTAATTAAAGGTAAAATAGCTGAGAAATAACAAAATATTCTTTCATAAAATTTCCTGGCTGAATCAATTACACCCAATGTGCACTTCACGTTAGACACATTTATCTCCGTAATGTTTAGTGTGCAAATCCCACATGATGAAACTCTCTGGGGTTGCTATTCCCTAGGGACTTTACAGTTATGCCACAGAACAGACACAACATAGAGAATCTTGTAGGAGTGGAAAGGCATGTATTAACCCAGATACTTCATAGCTACATCTGGTCTTGGGAATCTGGGATAGCAGGATACCCAAGCCCAATTTCCACAGCAGTGTGGAACTCAGAGGGCCCATAATCAGGATGTCCTGAAATGCCAAGGTAGAAAACAAACTGTTCTTCAGCTTCCTATGATAACAAGATGGGTCTGGCAAAATGGAACCTCAAGACATCACCTAATGACTTAAGATCTCACTACTTAGCTATAGAAGGCAGCTGATAATGAAAGGGTGGCTCACCTGCTTTGAATGACAATGCAGTCCTGATAAAGTCGGTCATACATACAGATCTTTAAATCAATGTTGGGGTTGGGCACCCAAACCGGCACATCAATAGACACTCCAATGGCACTAAAGCACAGCTGTTAATACACAAATCAAGAGTGTAATTATTTTTGTTAGTCGGAAATTCTTACTGATCTAGACAGAGTAAAAATTTCTGCTATAAATTACAGCTGAGTGAAATATTTTATTATTCATATTGCAGCAGGTTCTTTAATTAGGCAAAGCTATGAAAATAATTTGTAAAATAAACCCTAGATGTTATGGTGTCCCAGCAGAAAAAAGATCTATACTTTGGTTTGGATTCTTTGACAGAGAACATGAAGGAATAGCATGCTGCCCATTATATTAAGAAGAACTATTTAAAGTGCATCTAGCTTAAGGGAATGTGCCATAATTCAGAAACTCAAGAGACTGCAGCTCGTTTAGCCAGCAAACAAATACAGTAATGGCAGCACAGTGCTGTACTTCCTATAATGACCTTAGGTCTGACATCAGTGACCGCACAGCTCAGTCTTGGATAAAATGATCCTGAACGAGAGGGTACCCATAGGAGCCTGCAGTATGCACCTGCAGCTCCTTTTGTAGACTACTCCAGCTGTAGACTATGGGGAGAGCCAAGACTGGCCTACTGAGCTTCTTGGAGGTTTTTCTTTATTTTTTTGGCAGGCTTCTGTGAAATGTTCCCAGGCAGAATTCAGCTTCCAATAAAGCGTGGAATCAAAATACACTGAAGGGGTAACTAAAGTTGTCATCTCTTCCAGCTTTCACACATCAGTTTCACTGCTGCATGCTAAATAATTCCAAGTCTGATATATCAGAAAGAAAATAAACTACATGGGCTGAGAATAGAGAATACTTTCGTATTTGTTTCCAGGACATTAGATGTTTTCCAGTATGATGTCTGACAAAATGGGAATATCAGAATTATTTGCACAGACATTTCAGAGAATCAACAGGCTTAATAACCATACTGCATCAGAAAGAAGAGCCATGATTTACAAAGTTACCTCCCACCAAACCACGTAATACATAATTGTATTGTACCTCAGTGTTAATTCTCATAATGTTCATAAACCTATCTGTCCTCTATCTCCTCCTCCTGTTTCTAATAGAGGATTCTGAGCTCTTTTAATTCTTGGGAAAAGCAGAAGTAGGAGGATTTTAAACTCTTTTTCTACAGTGTTTTGAAGCAAGTCTTGCACAAAATCACTCACTGGTTTGCAGTCTGAGTTGTCAAACATGATCACAAACTGTGCCCGCACATCTCCAGGGACAGCTGGAATAAATAGAATCTGAAGTTTGACTGAGCTAAAGGGTCCAATTTCACCCTCAGTAACCTAAACAAGAAGTAACAAGTTTTTAATGAAAATCTGACCGTATTACTGTAGTTGTCTATAAATTGTATTGAAATCAACCAGCAGTATATACTCATACTATATACAAACACTCTACTACACCTAGTTTGTAACTAGATTGAAGGCACTATGCAAGGGAAAAATCGGTATCAGTAGCTCCCTAGGAAGTTTATTGTGGGGAAAAGACTTGGCATGACACATGGTTTCACAACCAGGCGTGGTCAGAATCTTACAGAGTCTTCTTTTACTGTAAGACTCTGTATGGTAGCGTGGTTTACCAAAGTGTTTTCCATCATGTATTGGTGAACATGTAACTAAAACATGGAGAAACTGTATTGTGCTACCATTTAAAGATCTGCTGTACTGATTTCATCATTAAGTCCACCTGCCTTTTTTATGTGTAGGTAGAAGCCATAAATGCTAGTATGAACTAGTTCCTGGACTCTCATACCCAGGTATTTTTAATATGGCTCAAGTTTGAGGTTTCCCAGACGTTCTTCCTGTCCCATCTTTTGCGCTGTCACTAGACTTTGTATAACCACAGAACGACATAGCAGAAAAATGAGTTTGACCAAAAAAAAGTTAAATTATGAGAAATGCAAATGTATATACAATCTTTCAGCTCAAATAAGTCTTTATACATCAAAAGAGAGGGCAAATATGTCATGTGATTTCATTTTAAGAATTAACTGTGATACAGTGAAGTCCGGTGGACTTGAAATTGGTCACGTACTTAAGCATTTCCCACCAGAGCGAAAGCAATTTATTTGATGTAGGCTTAGACTAGCGAAAATCTTGCCTGTATCTCAGGATTTTCATTACCTTTCCAAGCATAATTTCGACTGGTGTTTCTTCAGGAGAAAGTTCCACTAAATTATGTGTATTGTCTGTGCCTACATCTGATCTGGAATTTAGTACATCTTGGCCAAGTTGTTCTGGGGAAAAAAAAACACCAAACACCACAAACAAAACCCTACAAAATGCTGGATGTGTGCATCTATTCACTAAACAAAAATATCAAACAGAGCAGAAGTACATTGATTTTGGTCAACATTGCAAATCCAATAATATATGCCAACAATGGGGAAATATAAATGTCGAGAAGGCAATTTCTGTTTGGCCATACAACTTTGCCCAGGTCCAGAAGTCTACCTGACGGACCTGAGCCTTCCGCTTCAGAATAACAGTAATAATGTTTCAGTAGGATACAGTATATATCGGAGATTGTTATATCAAAGAATGCAAATTCAGCTTAAAGTGTGAGCTGGGCTTTAAGAACAATTTCAGTGGGACAAAGCAATGCAGCCAGGAGGACCTGCAAAGCAAGTGGAACTGCTGCTGCACTATATTTCCAAAACAACTGCAATAATAAGTACCTTTTAATTAAACAGTCTCCGACCAGGGCTTCAAAGTGCCTTAAACTAATGCATCATGAGAGAGATGAAGCTGACGCTGGACTGTATGGCAGTAATCAACTGGCAACCATATGCTTCACATTAACCAGAAAAAAGATCAGGATGTCATGAGATATGTTAATGTGCAAAAGCAATGGAATTTTTAGTTGGGTGTTTTTTTTAAATTCTGAAAACATCTTTAAAGGTATGCGTTCTGTGGCGACAGCTACTGTGATTTATGGAATCACTCCATTTCACAAAACAGATCCCAGATTTAAAAAGCAAAACCACCCACAACATTTTCACGGAACTTTTAGTTTCCTACAATTGGAACGATCAATATCCAGAAGAAACATTAAAGAATACAGACAATAAAGAAATTACGAAAGTCTTTCTTCTACAAGACTGGATTTTATTAAGCACATCGTAAACATTAGGAATGGAGATGGAAAATGTCTAAGGAGGTTCATCTTTCTGCTTCCTTGTTCCTAGAATTACAGACTATAAAAATAAACCTGTCATGTGGATTTCTATTCCGAGAAGTGGGTATTCAGTTGCTGAGACAAGAATGATAACAATTTTGCAGTTTCTGTAAGCTAGTTGGTTTCTGTATTCTTCTGAGACTGAACTGTTGATCGCTAATAAGAAGTGAGATTCTCTGCTGCTTCTGATATAATGGTGTCAGTACATTATTTTTAGTAATTTTCTGTGAGACAGCATACAAAGAAATGTAACATTACTACCAGAATGATGAACTACTTAATTTACTGAGTAACTTTGCAAACTGAATTCCACAGTTCTTTACAGGAAACTCCACAAATTGATAATGCTTAGCCTGGGAAACTGTGCTGCCAATTTTCTAAAATAGTCATCTCACCTGTGGAACTACTGCTCAGGCTTGTCTCAGTCCTCTGCTGCTCCACCTGGGCTACACAGTAGGTCACTTCTTCACTATGGTCAGGACAAATTTGTTCCTTCTTTTCAACTACAGATGTCACAGGACTATCGCTGACTTTCTGTTCAGGGACACAGTCACTGAAATGTCGAGTAACCTATTAGAAAACACGGAAAAAACACTTTCTACTGTGACTGTTCATCTAGCTTGCGCCAGCTCCAATTTTATCAGGCAGTTGCAAATCAGACTTGTGTTTTCTTGCAACTGTTCCACGTTGTAAATGGAGAGACGTGTTGCACTGTCTAAAAACTGCACATTCTACTAGACCTTTATCAATGAGCAGATTTAATTTTTGCTGGCTGCCCAAAACAGGTAGACAACATAATGGGAGCAATACAATATAGTGTTAGTTATTTTACAATTAACAAAACTAACACTGGCAGTTCAATGCCAAATCTAAGTCTCCTAGAACTAGACTTCTGTTTATTACACACCTACAAAAGACAGAATACAGAAGGAAAACCCAGACAGTGTTATTTCACAAATTCTTTATTTAAACCACACTTTTAACATAAGCATAGTACGAGAGTTGAAAACCATGGCAAACAGCTCAGCAGTTTCACTGTACATACTATTTAATGTAGTGCTTAAAAAAAAGAGAGGTCAACCCTTCTCTTAAAACTTAAAACTGGGTTAGATTGTCAAGTAGATAATTTTGAAAACCACCTGAGCCAATTGCTCTTCAACAATCAAAGAAGTTAAAGACTGCACTGATGGAACAAAGATGAAGCATCTGTATTGCGTTTATAAGAACATGTAGGCACTTCATAACAAAGATATGCAACCTAGTAGTGATATTCTCTCTGAGCAAGGACCTGTGAAATCTATTTATGGGTACTACCTATGCAACACTTGAGGAAAAACGAACATTTATGATAATTATATTAATCAACAGAGGAATTACAAAGCACAAGTTCCTACCACAATGAGTGGGTAGTGGTTGGGTTTTTTGTTTGGGTGCATTTTTTTTGTTTGGTTGGTTTTTTAAACCTAAAGATTTCCCCACTTTAAGAATAAAATCCACAATTTACTTCGAAAAGGAGCAAGTAAGTCTTCAGACTTAAGCTGTTCAGTCTTCTCAGAAATCTGCCCCACAGTGCTGACATGCAAAGACAGTTGTATGCATGCTTTCTTTGTAAATGTTTCTCACTTAAAATTATCTGCTACATGGAGGAGTACAGCTGTCAGAATTCCTCAGTTTTCTGTCAACTTTGAAATTGGCATGCTGTAGGAGCAATCAGTATCAGGTCTAACACCACACATTTTGTCAGCTCTGCACCAAGTGTCTGCACCAAGTGAGTTTTGGTATTTTTCTTCAACAGTCTCCACTTCATTCCCACCCAGGACAATCCACAGGACACAATATTACAATCACTTGCATTCATTCTACTATTGATTTGAGACATCTTTCTTCAATTCTTTTAACGCTATTTATTATTATAGTTTTCAGGCAACAGCCCTCAATGTAATTCTTAGTTTGACTAAGAAGACTTCTTCCCTTGTAACAACAGCTTGTCAGTAACTCTGACTGTCCTTCTTTGACAGGAAATTTAAACGAACAGCTCTGAATTTTTAAAGGAAGATCACAGGCTAGTGCTTCCAATTCTCATTACTTTATTGCTAGTTTTGCAACAGTTGGCATTTTTCTGAAGTCCAGGAGCTAGGATGTTAAATGACTCTGTCAGAATCTCCTCTTTTAACTAAAGTATTTCTTCCTAATTTTCATGGATGTGGAGAAAATAGGAATCATGACGTAAATTACTAAAATGCTAAAAAACAATTATCATTGTTGGTGTCCTGTCCCCCCACCCCAATAATTGTTTTTAAATTTGTCTTGTGATATTTGGGGGTCTAACAGATTATATTAAAATATGCCAACCCAAACATAAACAAACTGCTAAAGGTTGGAACAGATGATCTTCCGAAGACCTTTCCAACCTGAGCTGTTCTATGATTCTGTACAATTATCACACTCTGCAAAGCAAAACGTTTCTTTCAATTTAGGGAAATGCTTTTGAACCTACCATTCTTCCAGAAGACTTTGCTGTTGTTCTGCATGTACTGCTGTCACCTGCTGATGCCTGAACTTTGAATCTTGTTCCCAAAGCTCCACTGTTTGTCAGATTGATGGTCCGTGAAATTGTCTCTCCCACCACATGGCTGCCAAAGTCAATGAGCTCTTTATCTAGTGCCAGCTGTGAGAAGATAAACCATTAATTACTGCTGTCCTAGATAGTCAGTAGTGTCAACTGAATAAGCATCTACCTTTTCAAGAATAGGACTTTAAAGTTCTTATTTAATTTCAAAGACAGTATCAAATAACAACATGAATTGTGGGTATCCTTCTGCCTTTTTGTAGAAGCCATCTCATTAAAACAATGTCTTGTTAAACTGAGCCACTTCCATTTCAGTCCACTATATGACAATGGAAAAAACGGGTTAAATTCTGTTCATAGTAGCAGCTTTCATAAGTCTTCAGGTAGTTACTCTGGAAGTAGGTTAATATTTACATACTAATTCAACATTGTTGCTCTTGTGTTACAGTAAAATGGTTTTAATAGCATCAAGCTGAGAAGCAAGCAGCATGTAACATCATATAGTGACTATCTATCAGTTTAAAACACATCCTTTCTTCTTTGAGCTACCATGGCTTACAACCAGTTTAAAAAGTAATACGCTACTTCATATAGAATTTTTCATGACTTTGTAACCAGGTATAGGATAACGAAAGGCTTGTAATTCAAGTGAAAGCACCAAAAACACAAAGACAACTTGGTTGCTTGCTAGTATCCTACTTACAGCTGGACTCCTCCCACTTTCAGGGCATAAAGAATGGGAGTTCCTGCGTGTAAATAGCACACAATGATGGTATGAATTCTCTAGGTGAAGAAAACTACTCCTCTGTTTAAAGCTTCATGTGCTGGCTTTCTACTGCATTGAGCATTCTCATCTTTGAGGTCTTCTAACTGAAAACCATTAAAGAGTCTGATACACAGAGTCAGATTTAAGTACGCAATATTGATGTGGTATCATTTTAGCTTCCTAGAAGTGCTTAAAATTAAGCACATCCTTTAATACTTCGCTAGAGTGCTAATATAATAATTATAACACACGACCTTTCAGTTACTTCCCGCTTCTATTTTCTGTGTAACAGATTATTCTTGATTCACTTCCCTGTGTACAAAAGTTTCAATGTGCAGTCCAGTAAAGAATCATTACATACAATCTTATTCATTTTACTGAAACGTAATATTACAAACTCCAGGAAGACATTCATAGGTCTCAAGCGTTTGTAAAATAATTTTTAAATTTTTATTATTAAGTATGCTCCCAGTATACCCCAAATTTTGCATTTGCCAGTCTTATTCCAATACTGGGTGTCTCCTTGAATAACCTTTTTCCTCTAGCATTGTATATTCTCATCTATAATTTCTTTTGGCCTGTAAAGCCAAGGCTGCTCTTAGTTGTGAAGGAAGTAATTTAAAAACAAAGTTGTTGCTTTTATCATATACTTTCTTCACGTTAGCTCATAGGAAGTTAAGGTATCTAAAAAAAGTGCTGCCTGTAGTTTTACCTCTTAACAGTGAGAAAATTATGTTCTTTGCTTAAAATTCAGTATAGAATTCTCAAAAGATTTTGAGATGCTGAAAGAAAGGAGAGATTAGATGCTTTATATAAATGCCAATAAAGATAGAAAGATATTGTGATATTTTGATTTTTGTCCACATAGAAAATTGAAGTTAAGAATAAACTACTGCAGGTCTGGGATGGAATTTCCAAAAATTACAGCGAGAAAAAGATAGCTCATTTCCGGCCACCATTTGTCTTCCCTCCATTCACAATGTAACATTGTGTCATCAATTTCTTAACTGAACTAGTTCAGTTATTTCCACTCCTAAGTTAAAGTTGCAGTTCATGGTTAAGTAAATCCATTAAGATAATTTTGTATAAATGTCAGTGTAGTCTGGGAAGCTAAGGAATGAATCACTTTCTGGAAAGAGACGCTCCGTTGAAAAGGAAAAAAAGGAAAGAAATATAAATACCTCTTGCTAAATATTTTCATTAATGTTTATGCCCTCAAACACTTCTATTACTGTTGTTTTACTGACTCTGAACAGACTTAAAAGTCACTTACAATGCATCTCTTGGCTGTACATTTCAATGGAACAGAAAAAGAACCTGTCTGTGCCATAAACATGATTTCTCCTTCCAGAGTTTCATTTATCTAGGAAACAAACAAACAAAAAACCAACCATGTAATTTGCAAAGATTTAGCCTATGTAGTCTGATGAAAAATGCTTTCACTCATTCTTTGAGTAACATATTAAAACATATCTCTACAGATTCCACATTTCCACTTTAAAACAGTCTCTGGTAACTGCCTGGCTAACTTTAACTAGGCAGTACTATAAATCATTTTGTTTGAAGCAAGTTTCAAAACATACTCCAAGAATACTCAGTGACATGCATTCTTCAAGAACATGCACTTAGAATATGCCGTATTACAATTTAACAGAGCTTGAACATGCACACAGTTGTCCAAATACAACAGGACCTTTTCTAGAAATGTAGTTTGTTTCCTTGCTAACAGTTAAGAAATTAAATTAATGATGTTTAATCAGACTAGTGGGTTATACTAGGATTCTCATCATTGTGTAACTTAGCACTCAGGTGCACTTACCATCGGCTTAAATGTTACCACTACTTCACAAGACATTCCAGCAGACATTTTGCCAGGTGGGTCAAAACTGTGGAGATAATGAACATAAAACTCCAAATTAAAGCTATGCATGAAACATCCAGCTCCTATTCTGGTAACAATGGCAGGTTTTTTTTTTCCCCCCACTTGGATTAATTACTTAGAAAAGTCAGAATGAGTGACAGATTAATGAAAAGCTACAGAACCCTGCTGCAATGGTAAAACTACAAAGGATGATTCTTTATTGAGGCTTTACTCAGAAAGTCTTAAAGTGCTTTTAAAAGACAAGAATTATTGCCTTCATGCTACAGACAAAGAAGCTGAGGCTCAATAATATCATCAAGAACAGGGTGGACCAATCGCCTATTCTAACAACTAGGCAGAAGTCTTCTCCCATTATCCATTTTGAGTGTTGCTCTGTAACACCTCCCCTCTCCAAACAGTAAACAAAAAGGGAAAATAAAGAAGGTAGCTGCAAATGATTAGAGACCGTGCTGCTTGCTGCAAACTGTATCAAAATTATCTTGAATAGAAACAGCCACTCATTTCAATGCCTCATTTCATGGTCACTGTGATGCAAGTAAAACGCCCATCAGAAGACAAGAAATCTCACAGCTGCACTCTAAATGAAATTAAGGCACTACTGGAGACCTATTCTGCCGGACAGAAACAGAAAGGAAGCTAGACAAAATAGATAACCAAATGTTGTTAGCCATGGGAATACCTAAGCAAACTGGGCCATACTGAAATACAGAACATACATACTAATCACATTTTTATCAAAACAAAATTAAAACCAAATAAAAGCAAGATGAAACATTTTCAAAAAGAAAAAGGGAAACTGTTCAGAATTCAGGAGCTTAAAATGTCAATAGGGAAATAAGCATCTGTATACTGACCTTCAGAACAGATCACTAGCAGTTTCTCGTGAGAAAGACTTTAAGTAATAGCTCTTTATTTCAAATGTTACCTTGATAAAATATTTATGATTTAGAGCATAGGCTGCCAAACACACAAACACACACAGAACCACTATGCTAAGAACACGCTCGCATTGCGTGGGGATGTAATAATGCTCATTTTAACCACTAAAACATAGCCTTTTACTAGCAAATATAGTGTCCATCACTGATAACAGTTCTCAAGCATTATGTCTATAACTATCTGTGCAAGTGATCTAGAGGACAGGTGATACCATGACAGCTTAGATGTACTCGGTATTTTCTAAATACTTGCTAAAACTATTTTTTAACAAACAATTTATGTATGGTTCTACTTGAGAAGAGGTAAGCATTATCTATAAGATCAGTGCCTACAAATCTGAACTGTGCTGTTCAAATTATTAGTAATATGACAACGGATAATAAGATCGATAGATTATTTTTGCTATCTATCTATCTATCTGGCAAATGTATAGGTAACCAATTTGAAAAAACCTGAATTCATTCATCAGACATTGAAAAATCATTGACTCATTCTATTCATGATATTTGATGTTTAATTTGTATTTGGAGAGTACTTTGAAAGGCAATTATAACAAGGAAAGACTTAGGCCTTTCAGAAAGAGTTGTTTCATTTTTGGTCACAAATCAGAGGTGCTGATTTAAAATATGCAATTGTCCAACATAGTAAGTGAGAAAAAAAATATCAGTCTGAGAGCAGGAAAAAACTCATTTTGTCAGAAGATTAGTAGCTTCAGGCTTTGTAATAGAAATTAAGCATGTATTATAAGTGGGTCAAAATTAAATCCACATACCATAATTTCAAAACAAGCAAAAAACTACATTCATATTCAGCCGAGCACCAGAGCAAGTTTAAAAGCTTAAGTGCTCTGCTGTATCGTGGTCAATTACGCATCTCCATTAGTCTGTGACTAAAGTGCTAAACATCTTTACCAAGATCTTTTACGGCAGCTGGATTCATATTTTATAGCTCTCAAGTGATTACATTCAGTCAAGAACTGCAGTATGTTCACATTCCAATGTACTTTTATAGGGACTAAGTGGACAAGGAATGGCTTAACTATGCACCATAATTTTTCTTATCAAGCTAGCTAGGAATTCCAAGTGCAATCTATCACTACGAAGTGGCAGTGGGTAGTGAGCTGTAAAAGGATCTCTGGAGTAGGAAATCAGTTACTGCAGTAATACAACTTGTTTATTTCACTGGGGTATGATTAAACACTCACAGAAATGGTTCCTTCAAGTCAGTCAGCCATAAGAGTCGAAACCTTAACTTTTTATGTTAGCCAAATGAATTTGCTCTGATGTCTGCTATTCGTCAATAAGCTTCACTTACACACAAACAAGAGCTTTAGCGTTTCTTCGCTTTTAGGCTAAACTACAATCAATTTTTTTGTTTCACAGAGGTCCAAGTAAATATATTATGTTCTTGACTTCATTTTTTAGATAAAAGGCAAGTTGTGTAAAGTAGTATTTTATATTTCTAAAGGCTTGGAATATCTCCAGAGAAAGCTAGCCTCTGAATTATTCTTAAAGAGAAACAATTTGGGAATACTTCTATTTGTTTATTTACAAACAGTCAAATAAAATTATCAATACAGTCAAACTGAGATTAACTTGCAATCTCTCCCAACTGGACAGAGTACTTCATTATATAACCTGTCATCGGGATTATATGAATGGATTGATGGAAAGACCACAGGATTTCAATTTAAGTGCTCTTTGCTCTGAGATTTGATTCCTTTATTTCATCAGCTTTTTCACATTTAAACTTCAGCAGTAATCTGGAAATTAGTGTGAATCATGCTGTGAAGGATGGTAGCTGGTGAAAGAGGTGTCCCTAGGCTTAAAGGCCCTTATTGTGGCCTAAAAAGAAGCTTGGGTCCTCCTTTACTTCTTTGTACCTACAAAGAGATACTTTTCCCCTTTTTAAAAGGGTCTGACATTTTTGAAAAAAGCTTTCTGCTTGTTCAGGGCTGGCAGTTACCACAGGTCTACCTTGCTTTCCACAGATTAGGGACTGGTCCCTTGCTATCACCACTATAGAAACCAATGACATGCAGCTCAGGCTCAGTAAGCCTCTTACTCCTCAGCTCTGAAGCACAGTTCCTTTCCACATCGCCCAAGAATGGAATATAATAATTTAGATGTATTTACTGAAATCTATTTAATTTGCTACAGAATCTGGTTACATCTCCTGTTGCGGTACTAAGGTAAAACAAGCAACTATTCTACAGTTAATTTTACTTACCGAATACTGATGAAGTCCTTGAGCCACTCACTGACTCCCACTAATCTGCAGAAGTTAACACTGTAGGATGCATTTATCAAAACTATCTTCTTTTTGTAGATTTGACCAACATCAAAATCCTTGAAATACCAAACATACCAGGTGGTGTGAATTACAGGAAGTAGCATTTACACATGTAAAGACAAAACTACTTTACCACAGCTGTGCTCACAGTCCCTACTGGGATCACAGGCCTGTGTGCAAAGTATTGTATAATCCCATGAAGAATTGCCTTGCTCCAAACAAGCCCTTTTAAAACATACAGCCTATAAAGCCAGGAACTCATGCTTCACGGATGGGACAACATTATCTGGGTTTGTGCACAGCTAACGCACCAAGCTGCTCTGTCTTTTCCTCCAGTGAATGTCAAAGACCTCATGTCACATTCACGGTCTAATAGAGTTGTTAACAATTTAAGACTGTGTGTGGCAAAGACAATATAGATTTTTTTGAACACAGAGCTAGGTGCCACTGTCTTCCAATGGAGGTCTGCTGTTTCAGCGCAAGGCACAGGCTCCTAATAAAACCAGAACGCCATGAAAGCTGTATACCTGGGCACATTCATTAACACACAGACAAGGAGAGTCCTGCAGGCTGACTGGCAGCAAGTTTCTCTGACACGGTTAGAAGACTTGTCTGATGCACCACACTAGCAACCTTTTCAAGTACAGAGGAGAACTAGGCATATTGTTATGCTTTCTCACAGTACACTTGTTAATTAGAACACAAGAGATAAACTGCAGCTCGATTTCCTCATGACCAGTACAATATGATGGTCACTTGCAAACTGAAATCTTAACTGGATTGTAGGCATGACTTCTTTAAGGACATGATTTTCTAGTAATAATGCATATACAAACAATACAAAAGTAACAGTTAAGCTGCCTTCTAAAAGACATGGAACACAGTCTAACAAGACATCCATCATTTTCCCACCTTTCTGACAGTATTTAAATTCCCCTAAGTAAAGGAAGTATTTTATAATTTAGACTTAACTAGTAAAATTAAGTAGTTTATTTAAGCTAACTATAACTTACCTAAGAGACTGCTAGAAAAAAAGGTAAGTACAGTTTTAGGTTTGACTAGACCTATTAAAAACAAGGTTGTTTTTTTTTCTTCCCAGTGCAACATAATTTTGATCAAGACATTGGTATATACATACAGTAGATACATACATCTTCTTTATAGATCCTACGCAGAAGAGCCACTAACCTTGAAATGAATGCAACTTGGTTTACTATAGAAAGTACATCCCTTACGTTCATGACCAGACCCTATTTGCTTGTGAAAAATTCCAGTTTGGAGCTCCTCCTTTTTTTTCTCAAAAATTTCTTTTGTCACTACCCTTGTAGCCAGCTGCTTTGAATCCATTTCTTCTTCAGATATCTAATAAGGAACATCAGTAAAAACCACCATGAATATAAGTAAGTGTGATCACAGAATCTGTAGCTCAAAGTAAAAAAGCCTGCAAATGGAATCTTTTAGTATTTGGCCAGCCTTTGTCTGTTTCTCTCCAGATCAAACTCAGCCTCCCAACTTCTACATGAAGAATTTAATTTATTTTCAGCTGTCTGTTCTGTAGCTTATCATCATCCCATAGTATGACATAGTGGTTTTAATGGGAGTATTAGCTCTTCTGCACTTACAGAGTTTTTTCCCCTCAACTTCTTAAACAAATACCCATTCAGAAAAAAGGCAGCTAACTGCACTGGAACATTTCAGTTATGGTGCAGTGCTTCTTTCATGCAAGTATATGAATATGTACTGACATTATTTCTTTTTGATTGATTATAAAGTATGCTCTTAAAGGTCTTCTACATCTCAAAAAAGCAGTATATGCAAGTATACCTTGGAATAACATTTAAGATCTTAACTACACAATTCCACTCTATAAGACTGTTATTATTTACTTCTGTTTAGAGTATAGAATACTATTACTTTGCTAGAAGATATGCTTTTCTTTGCCTAGTATGGTACAAAAAAAAGTTGTTTCCACATAAAGGAAATTGTGTTGCTGACTCAACAGAAAGTCATGTTTAGTTTTTTTTAAACAAGTGATCATGATGTGATGTATGTCTTCACATAACTCTGAACTAAAATTGAAATTGTTTTCTCTTTAAAAGAACAAACACTACAAGAACAGTGTCAAACAGCAATTACTCTGATGATATTCTCACATCTGAGTCTCTACATCTCCATAATAAAGTCTGCATTTTAAATGCAAAATAAATAATTACTGTTTTTAAGCAAGGTTCCTAAAACAGCACTTGCCAGTGTCATTACTTCAGATATATATAATAACTAGAAAGGCAAATGAAACTTTTCTAATCCATTAAGATACTTTTATGGATACTGTCAAAATTTTGTGAAGGCTAATTTCACAATGGGTCAGTTACAAAAGGATCTCATCCACTTTTTTTTTCTTTTCTATTTCTAATAATAGCTATCACAACATTTACCTTGTGCAAGTCACATTCCTGACTCCAAAGTCCCGGGAACTCTGGTTCTACTAGGGTGTCATCCCTCCCTTTCTCATCTCCACCACTTTCACAGAGCACATCATGGGGTATTTTTTCAGAAATCTCTCCTACAGAAGCAGTTCTCACACCAGCTGAGGAACAAGCTGTCGGAGAGCACCATGACTTTTGGGAAAGAACATAAGTTTTGAAGATACAGTTAAAAATTACTAGAGGACAGTTACTTCAACAGTTAACAGTTTCTGAGATCTTTTAAAACAAAAATGACAGGTCTATAAAGCTCAGAGGCCAAAAATGACAACTTAGGTCGATCCATTCTTAAGACACTGACTACTGACAAAATCTTATGTTAAAAGCATCTATATGATGTTAACTGTATACTATAGGAGGCTAGAAACCAGTCCTCAGGCATGAGAATACTGACTGTAGTTTCTGAATGTTTTGTGTATCACGTCATAAGCAAGGACTTTGTTGTTTTGTTGTAGTATGACTATTTCTACCAAACACCTCTCCCCCACCCCCTTTCTTTTAAATACCTAAAGATTGCATGAAGCCACTAGTTTCATCAGGGAGTTCAATTCACTCCATCTCCATTTTCCAGGCCAGTACTCCCTGGAATACTGCACAGATGAAAAAAAAAACACATCCAGGACACTGGAGAGAACCACTGTCTCCTTTCTAGTACAGTGGAAACATTTCTCCTGTGCTGACAAACTGATCTGAATCCTTACTCAGGGATGAAGGTAATTAAACAGGAAGTGAGGGTACTTTGCGTGGTTTTTGATGCCCGTTGCAATTCACGTGTTTCAAAATTCACCTCTTCTTACAAATGCCCTTAAACCCCTGCCCTCCCCCACCAAACAGGACAATGTCTTTATTCATACAAGCACCAACACTCAAGAAAAAGGAGACTAAGTCATTAAGAGATCTAATGGAGAACTTACTCCCCACTCATTCTGTACTGTCTGCTATTTGGTTGTAGCCTGTGCTATTCACAGGCCAACAAATTCACTGTCCTGCACCTTTGATAAAAAATAAAGACAGGTAATTCTTAGGCCTTTGTTCACCTGTGATATTGCTCCAGCTGAATGTTTCCAGGTCTTCTCAATATATTGCCATGTTTTCATTCTCCACCGTAAAGAATCCTCAAGTTTACCACCACCCTTAATTGCCTTAGTACAGGACTGACTTTTTTTCTGCTTGTGAAAAGAAGCTTCTTCTTGCAAAATTTGAGATACAATCTCAATTTTTCTTGATTTTTGCAGTTCTCTAAAAGCTCTGTAATACAATGTTATAAGAAATATCAAACCAACCCTTGTTTGCTAATAATATTAACTACAGTCCAGTTTCTTCTGAGCCTTTAAGCTAAACCATAAGTCTTTAAGTTGGGTGCAGTGGTAATTTGTGTCAAGACACCAGGCAATTCAGAGGCTATTTACACATTTTTGCAGACTAAATATACTCAATTACAGTGTTTTAGAAGTTGAGGAGTTGACAAAGCATACCAGTCATTGCTACTGAAAACAAAGTTTTAAAATAATTTTCCTAACCCAGTTAGCTATTTAAAGAAAACTGCCTATCTGAAAGCCAGTGGATTTAATAAAAGGGAGGAAGAATGGTTAAAGGTAAGGATGCAAGTACTGAACTTGGAAGATATGAACTCAAAGCTACTACAAATTCCATGACACACTGTGGGTAATGTGACAAAAGTGACAGTAGATAATTTAATCTCAGTTTTAATACCAGCAATTTAATACACAATTTTCTGCAACAAATATTACCCACACTAATGACGGCTTTTAATACAGACTTTCACCTCTTCAACTAATCCATATAAATAATTATTGATTCTAAATAAGAGCAAAGAAAATATCACCTCTCATTTAAATACAGGCTACTGCATACTGAAGCACTTTAAGTAGCTTTAAGCTTAAGCCACTGCAAGCACATTGCCTCATGATGCCCCATTGCAGGAGATAAATGGCATTGTATTTATAACACATTTTTGGAAAATCACGGTACAAAGAAGTTAATCATGGTTACAGTGACACAGGAATGCTATACCTGGTGCTATATGCCCCAGGTATAAAGCCATCCTCTGCCCCTATGATCAGTTCTTGTCTTTATGAATCTTTATATAGGTGATATATAAATCAATGACATAATGGCTTTAATGACTGAAGAGCTATGTTCTTTTACAGATAATTCAGAAGTATATATTCAGCCTGAAATATACTCAGAGAAAACAGAATATCCCTTCACAGAAAAGGAGAAAGGCAGCCCTGGGAGAAAAACTAAGCAGTTCTTCAGCAGATTAGCAGGATGGTAGCTGAAATTAGAAAAGAACTGCTGTGAGGAACATGACACAACTAACGTTAAGACTAACAAACTGTGATCAGCCTTGGCCTGCAAAGGGAAACAGGGAAAGGGAGAAAGCAAGCAAGGTGAAAAGGATTAAAAACTTAAATAGATTTGGATATTTCCAGCAGACCTCTACGAACTGATATGATTATTTTATTAACATGATTTTTAGAACATATTTAGGGATAGCAGAAGTGCTGTTATGCAGCTGTCAAGACTGAAGCTGTATTTAATCAAAACTTAAGACTTACTGAACCTTTACTTTTTAAATCTCTAACATTTGCTACAGGTTACTGCCCTTGTAGCAGAGCCAGTGTGCAGAAACACATACCTCAGCCACCCTGTTTGGTATCTTAGCTCAAATTCATCTTCATATGTGGTTAAAAACAATAATTAAGCTTTGGACTGGAGCAGATGAGATACAGGCACATTCCTATCAACTTTGCTACAAAGGCAGAGGAGTAACCAATCAAAAAAAAGCACAAAGGAGAGTACCTCGCTTCCGCACCTTACTGCAGTGCAATCTTCCAGAGATTGTCTCTAAAAGCCTAAGAGAGCTATTCAATCTTTATAGGGAGAGTGTTCAGGAGATACAGAAGTACAGTTACTTCAGGCATCCAGTTTAGGTTCACTGAATTTCCCTCCTGGAGTAGTTCTTCTTCTTTGCACTACTCATAGAACATGGGCTCCTAACTTTGGCTCTCTGAATAATACAGCTAAGTTAGAAGTTCAAGTCACTTTAAAGAGACTATACAAATATCACAAATACAGAGTATAAGAATGAGTTCACTCCCTTGAGACAGCATCATAGATGTTATGTTTTCAGAATCTGATTCAGAGCTCCAATATATTCCTGCACGAGCACCAGTAAGCAGCTGAGGGTTTAACAAAGAAATGAATACTTACTGTTTCTCTTTTTCATGCTCTAGCAGTCGTTTATGGAGAAAAATTTCCTTGGCAACATTGCCTCCTTCTGCTAGGATAGCTTCCCTCATTTTCATCTCCTGCTTCTTTGCCTCAAAGGCCATTGCTTTGTTCCAAACCTGGAGAGTTTGGAGTTTTTCCTATGAAGCCATACAAACCAGTTACATATTTGATTCACATATTAAAGAATATAAAACAGAGAATCTAGTGTTGGTCCCCTTATCTACGTATAAATTTGTGGTAGATTTCTCTGAAGCAGAACTTACTGTTTTTAATATACACAGTAGTCATGGTGTGCTGAGATGCAGAAAGCTCTGAATAGGTCAGGGCTACTTCTTTACCCTTCTACCCTTCCCTTGAAATGCTACTCAATGAAGCAATGTGAAAAGATACAGTTCTAACCAAATCGGTATTCAATTAAGATCATTCCCTCAGATTCTACAGAACATAAGTAGAAGAGCAAAGTAGCATAGCTCAGAAATTCTTAATATACATTACTTAAATTCTTAGGTAACTGTTTTTCTTCCATGTTTTTTTCTCCATATGAAGTATTTCTGCATTGGGATCCAAACAACTGGAAATGCTTCTGGCTGAGTTTTCAGAGAACTTACTTGTAGTATGCATTATTTTCAAGAGAGCTACCCTACCAGAACAACTAACTTGTTGACAGAATAAACTCCATAAGTAGATGTGTCAAAATCTGCCCATGCAAATCTAACACCATTACTGCTATAGTTAAATTATCCCCGGTTTCAAGAGATTTGGTCAGTGGTCTGACAGCATCACACAACAGTTCTGCAATGAAAGCTGAAATTACTTGCATTAAAACCTAGCCGTCTAACAAGTTAATTTCTTCATTCCCCATCTAAGCCACAGCAGCAGTACCCTATTGGAAGTTATGCTGTTTTTCAGGGAAAGCACAGCTTGTATCCTTCTCTCCATATGCTCCTGAGTTTTCGCTTCTTCCTTTGCATTTTTTTCATGAATTCTGTAAGCAAAGTAAAATCTTTCAGGCTCATATCCTGGAAAGCTTTTAGTATTAGAATGTTTAACCTGACAAGTAGTAATTGTCAATGTCACCAAACATTCTTCCTGTAAGCCTCTGTGTTTACTATGATACTGGGTGTGGGTAAAGTGGAACAGTTGGAAGACTCTTCTATATATGGTACCACTCAAGTTACAAGTGCCAGCAGGCTTTCAACTAGTTTGTTCAACAACTTTTTTTTTTAATTTTGAATATGAATAATGTGTTCCACAATATGACATATGTTTAGTTGCTAAAATAAAGTAAGAATTCAGGTGTTGCTCATATAACCAATATCTAAACAATTACGTAGTGAACTTTATGAGCCAACCACTTGTACCCACACTAAAAATAAACCCTAGAAACTCTAAAAGCTAGAAATATGTGGGCATGAATCAAGCCTGAGACTATTCCAGCTAATATAATAGTAAACTAGAAAAAAAAAAAATCAGTAAGATCAATATATTTGATGCATTACTCAGAGGAAAGAAAAAAAAAAAATCTATTTGGTTGCTTGTTTTTCTTAATTATTATAAGTTTGCACATGCCATCTAATGAAAAATAAACACAGAAACAGTACAATTATTTCAAATCATTTTTTCATTTAAGTCCTAATATACAAGTAAGTAAATGTTCACAGTTTCTTTAGTAGTAATTATATAAATATAAACCTATGAAGCGAACATTTAATTTACCATCAACCAGAAAAGAACAGGAGCACAAAGAAATGGCCTATCAACCAATTTTACCAGACAAGAAAGCTTTTTTACCACATTTCAGAGGGAATATAGAATGGCCAAGTGCAAGTTTCAAACCTGAAATTTAGTTATACTACTTCAGCTAATAACACACACACATATATAATAAAATGTTTCAAATCATTATTAGTGCCTACAAGTAATCAGACCCCTCTGCATCTCATCAAAACGACAGTCCCTTCAGCTACAGGGAACCTGAAGACCACACTAGGACAGTACGTGGATTTTGCTCTTTCCAAGTCCTTCTGTGCCATGTAAGATTTGAATGCTTCACAGCACTGGTACTGTGGCAGAAGATTTCCAAGGTAACAGAAGACACACCTAGCAGAAAAATTATTATTTTTCAAAGACTAAAGGGTAAAGTATTGTACACCAGAGAATATACAATGATAGAAAAAGAGTGAACAATAACCTTGCTATGCTTTTTCTCAGGAAGCAGACTGCTTTTTCATGGTTCCTTTTGGCATCTTCCAGTATTTTTTTATGCCTTTCTTCATATTCTTTCTGGGATTCCTCCTCTTTTCTACAAAACACAGGCAAATCAACAGTTGCAGCAGGACTAAGAAAACCTTGATTCCAACACAATGACATCTAAGGGTGGGGTTGGGGAGTTTATTAATATGTGCTGAAATGAGGACATTTGTCTCCACCCGCCACCCTCCCCTCCGCCTCAGTCTCTTGTTTTCACAAAACCTATAGACAAATTGATAAACTAGCATCTGCTTTCTCTCCAAGAAATCTCAATAAACTTGATCGTAAATTCAGAAGGTCCTGGTGGCCAGCAGCAATGCAGACACATGCAGTTAGTCTCACCTAATAAACTCCATTTCCTTAGACAAAAAGCATTCACAGTTTTTGTCTTTAGGAAGTTTATTTCCATAGATCAGAGACCTTTACCTGAGTAACTGCAAGACTTTGGGCAATTCCTTTAATTCCATTTCATCATAAAATATTCCTGAAGCAACAAAACCCAGCTAAGAAACACAATACCACTAGTATTTGAATTAGCTAATCTTCTCAACACCTGAAACAGTGAATTGGCTAAAAATAATATGCAGAAAGGAAGCAGAGTCTGACTTATAGGCGCTTACTTTTCTCTAGACCGACGATTTTCTTCCGCTTGCAGTGCTGCTATTTTTTCCTTCCAAATCCGCACTTCTGCTCGTTCTTGGTATTGCATCTCTAGCTCCTCCTGATCTTTTTTAAGTTGTTCAAGGAGGATTTCATATTTTCCCTGCTCAGTTTCTATCTGCCACACCTCAAGCCTTTAAAAGCAAAGTATGAGCTGTTTTCACTGAAATACTGACATTCTTTCACTTACTTAAGGCTATTGAGTAGGTAAGGCTCTATGGTGAAAATGAAAATCTAGCCATGTTTTGTTTTGTTTTTTAAAATTATATTGTAAATCATGTCCTGTTACTGACATAGGTATTGTACCTTTCAGACTTAAGGCTCATATCTAGTAGCATATCTCATTTTAAAGACATTAAAAATACTGGTTTTAAAAAGAAAGTTAAAAAAATAAAGCTCAAGCTTCTGTTTCTCAAATTCATGTTTGCCCAGAAGAAAATATGAAAACCAAGAAAAATTAGAAAACCAGCTTTTTCTTCAACAGTAAATAACATCAGGGAGAAACCATAACTTTTATTCTTCTGTGCTTTGCTGAAAGAATTTAGATATGATAGGGATACATATAAACAGATTAATATAGTGATTGCTAATCACACAATAAATGAGTCAAGCATTTCAAAGCTCTTATACAACACTGCAGCAGAACATACGGTATTCTGGTTAACCACTTGGTTAATCACATCTATAAAGTCATGCTTGTGTTCTTCCTTTGATGTAGTGGCATTAGTAGTTGTACCTCTGTTGCCAAAATGTAAGCACACTCGCCTGCTGCCCTCTGCAAAAGACAGTTTTATTCTGTCTTATATAAATAAATAATTTAGTATGTGTGAACAATTACAAGCAGCAATGTTAGCTTAGCATAAAAATACACAGTACCCCTACAATGTCTCCATCATCCTCAATTTCAATCTTTTCCTTCATGCCTTATAAAAAACACTGAGAGGCATAAATTAGAAGTATTTATGCTTATTCGGAGATCAGTATCACAGACAGGTTTACTTTAGTTCAGCTTATTTTCCATTTACAATGAGACCTGTTTAGGTGCACAACTTATACCACAGCAACCAATTTCCTAAGCAATGAACTGTTCAGGCTAAAAGTCGCTCTCAAGATCCTCTGCCTTGCAATCAGCCTCACATGACCGCAAATGTAGTTCAGTATTTACAAGCAACTTCTGTAGTGATTGACTTTTGAATTCATTAAACAGCATATGAAGAACTTAATAAAGATTGACTCCCATCACACTGTTTTCTCATTCCCTCACTTACATGTTTTCTTTTAGTGTCAAACCAATTTTCAACTCAAAATCCTTCTCTTTCTCCAGTTCAGTGCACAGTCGTTTGTGCATTGCCTGAAGGCAGGACAAGGCTGCGCTGTTAACATTAAAAAGAAATGATCAGGAAGAAATTGGAACTAATAAAGATTTAAAAAAAAAAAAAAAAACCCCCCCCCCCCCCCCAAGATCAGCAACAATAAAAAATAGCTTTGAGGCTGAGATTTATGTATTAGAAATCCACTGATTTATGCAGTCTCTTATTTAGCCTTCTAAGTCTCCATTCTTCATTCAAAGGTATAGGTTTCTTTCAACTATTATATATTGGTTGAAATTTACAGAGGAGTATTTATTTCAAAAGCATGGACCAGTGGCTTAATGCGACTATTCATTTCTCAAGCTGATAAAAGTAGTAATTATTAACAAAAATAAGTTTAGGCAAACCTAGAGAACCTAGACTGATTTTGCTTTTAAAAAGGCATTACAATATTCCATGTACTTTGCCTAGAAGGGCAGGGTTGCCACACAGTTGTTTATTATCCTTGGTCTTCTCCACCCAGGAAAACTAGCAGACAGCACACTACAGAATCAACAGACAGTGAACTGGCAATATTCAACATAAACTCCGTTCCTCAAAATGAAAATTGGAAATGATCTTCTACCTGCAGTTACTACTCTAACTTCAAAATTTTTGTATTGGGCATCAGTAATGCTAATGGTAGCTAGTATTTTCTTTATTGCTAAGACATGATACCTTCGAGCTTCATAAGCCAGAAATTTATCAACTCTTCTTACTCCACCATTTACTTGCTAAATATAATAGATTGTGAGCATTGCTATTCTTCTGCAAATCTAGACCCCCAAATTTGACCCATCATAAGCATAAGAACTTCTACAATGCTTTTCTGTCTTTGTTGACTTCTGTTACTAGAACTGTCTCTTTGAGATCCTGAACAGGGAGTACTAGCACCCATCACAGGAGTCTCATTAGCATTCAACCCATCATTTTTTGTTAAAGCAGCTATTCCAGTTTGGCAGCTAACCTACCTTTATCATTCTATCATTCATCCATATACTAACTTGAAGATTAACACAGGTCATAAAATGCAGCTGTGAAGTTTGTTCACAATACACTGGTTCCTGGTACACAAGCCACCCACTTCTTTCTATTTAAACCAAATGTGAAGAGTACAGTAAATTGCCTCCCACTTTATAGCAAAAGTGTTTCAGAACAGCTCCTGTATGCAGAACTACTCCCGAAAGGCATTCGTACATTTCACAACATAAAACAAAAAAAGAAGTGGCATATATATACATAAATCCCAATTGTAATAGTCACCAGAAGCAAACCATGACCTCTAAAACTGCCATAGCACATTGGTGTTGGTTCATCATACTGAATAGAAGTGATGGAGACCCTGATAAACACAATTGACAGTAATGGGCTAGGCTGATTTAATAACATGTTGTTGTTAAATTTTAAAATATATGCCTCTTTCTTATCCATTCCTAAGTTTCCACCTCTTTCTGCACTGGTTTACCTAACAGAGTATTACGTCTAGACCAGAAAGCACAGAGATCAATGATTCCCAAGCCAATGCACCATTATCCTTCATTTCAAAAGGAGGAATTATTGCTAAAAATGTCAGCCAGAAAGTGACTGCAAGATTAGCGTTCACTAGCATGGGAATGAACACATTGCTCTGCTCTCTAGCTGAAAGTGCAATACCCTTGTATCAGAATAGCCTTCCAAGCTAATGCAGTTACTTCTTAACCTGAGAATGGCAACGGGTTTCATCACTGATCTATTGATATCTTTAATATACATGCTTAAAAATTCTATCAACTGTTCAACAATAGGAAGAGATGAAAGCAGGAAAGTTTATCTCATTAATTACACACAGATAAACATAATGGATGCCTGTAATCTTTGGTACCCAGAAACACTCTCTACCTACACATTGCCAGCCTCCTCCTCTTTCTCTATTTCAGTGTCTACACAATCCAGCTGCTTTGCTAGCATCTTGATCCGCAGTTGACAGGTACTCAGCTTGTCTCTGCAAGAAACAAACAGATTATTTATATTTTATAAGTTCTTTACTCTTTCCAAAGAAACTCCTCCTTCTGGGAGCAAGATTCACAGCTAGGATTTCCTTCCTTCTCCCAACTCCCCACCACCATCCCACTTTTCTTTTAAGATCTTACTATGACGTTCTTCGGAAGCCCTTATTAATTTCAAACATTTTCTCCAAAAATCCAGAAAAATGTAACAAGAATTTATTTTTACTTCATCCATAGTTCAGATATATAAAAAATGACAACAGCATAAGTGACATCTTTTTATATTAGCCTTCTTCAGCTATATTTGCTTGTAAAGAATATCTCTGTGACCTTAACATAGCAAAACACTCATAGCAGGTGCTTCTCTTAAAGTATGTAACTTCACCGATTCTAATCTACCATTTCCATTATAGTTAGGAAAATGTTTACAACAAATTTTCCGCTTGATGTTTCCAACTGACTGTTGAACCAGCAGGATTGTGTAGACATCCCTGAAAGGAATTAGGATCTAATTCTCCCAGACCAAACACCTCTTCTTTAACATTGATTATTGTATTTCATTTTTTCAAGTATGTAATTAATTTTTATCCTTGATCCTTTACAAGGGTTTGGTCATATATTGGATATGTTATATTAAACAAGTGTTTACATCGAGTAACTTTCATGAAAAAATTCTATGAACTGTAATATTTATAACAGATACAGTATCACAGTATTTGATGGCGATTTATGCTGATTGATTATGTTCGCTTAAACACTAACCTTACTTTTTGGACCGCAAGTTCCTTTTCTTTGGCTCTGTCATTGAGCTCTTTTAGGTTCCTCTGTAAGGTTAATATGCAAACTCTATCTGTATACTTCACAGCCTGAACATTATTAACATCACTCAAATAGTGTTCCAAGCTTTCCCTTTGAATTGAAACACACGATTAACAATGAAAACATAATAAGGAATTCAAAAGTTATGTGAACTTTGTACCTCATGCACTTATACATTTGTGGGTTAATTGTTTTCCATTTTATTCTAGCTGAACTGTTACAAATATGACCAGTATAAATAAGGAAAAAAAAAAGAACATAATCTGTACAAGAAGTTTACATACATGCATTTAAGCCAAGATTTTTAGACTTGGATATCTGATGTTGAATATTTATACCCACATTTAATGCATTAATTGTATGTCTTGGTTTTCAAATGCCTGTGGCTCCTCTTGATTATACCTAGGCTTCACAAATTCTAGCTTTCCCAAACAATAGTTTAAAACTTCAAAGGGAACATTCTAAACTACTTTAAAACATATTATATACAGCTGATAAGTTGGTGGAGTGAGCTAATCTCTCTTATCATTTTGGTCTGCTTAAACATATAGCAAGAAGAGGTCTGAAGGTTTGGGTGGTTGGGGTTTTTTTTTAAATCATTTTGGTGTATTTTGAGTTTCTCTGTTGATAATGGTAACACTGTTAACATTCACTGGTAGTAGGCACATGTGCTATGTAGCTTCCCACATACATATACTAATAAACATTATTTGAGCTTTTTATCATGCCTTATAACCCTATGCCAGGTCATTCCGGGGCAGAAACTAATAGTCTTGTCAAAGGTAAGCCAAACTGTGCATTGATCTTTGTGAACAGAGCAGCAACTACTTAAGGGCACATTCAAACCACTAAATTCCTTTTCATGTATGACCTCTGTTACATGGAAATTTATTTCTTCAGGAGAATAAACCCGCTGTACCAGCTACTTGTAAAACCAGTGTAGTACTAATCTATCATCATACCAATTCTGTGCTAACTGACTTTACACAGCGGTACAAAGCTCTGTATATATTAAAAAACTTACAATCCGACACTGATATTCTTCAGCAGACAAACTTATCTTTTTCCAACAGCTCCTGAAGTTCTACAAGTACAGAGGGATATGAACACAACACTACATATTAATACGAAGAGCTGGCTGGGTTTTACAAGAAATGTAAATTGGTTAGTGTAACGCTCCTTTGAGGAGAGCAATTAGCCCACATCAGTGTGGTGCAATCGTTGTGTTCCATGTACATACTTACAATTACTTCAGATTAAAAAGTGCCCAGAGCCTGTCTTTATCTTACTCAGCATATTGTTTTAACAGTAGTAACCAATTTATTTTTTGTGGAAAGGTCTATATTGCCTACGACTAATTTGACAAAAAGATGCATAGTTGAATTAACCAAACCTTCTCTTGAAAAGGTAAGTTAACTCTACAAAGGAAATTACTGTTAGAACTGGTAATAAGTTATTTACATGCTAGAATCATATTTGTCTCCAACTCCTTCAGAAGTGTCCTTGTTTCCCATCTCGCCACCACCAGCCAACTCTTCTTCAAGCTTGTATTCTAATAGATATTAAAACAGCAATTTAATAAAGAGATCTTGAACTTTAAAATGCAAAGCCCTAGTATATTTGCTGTCAAGTCAAAACATGGAGAATCGGAGATGACATTTTATAGCATTACTGCAGCGTATATAAAAAAAATTCATATGGCAAAACACACAGGACTACTATTGTACACCTGCAAACCAAACCAGGAGAGTGCTCTCTGCCTTCATTATGGAAGCCTCACCAACAATCCAATGTATGTGGAAAAAAACCCAAACAAGAACGGGGAAGGGGGTAGGCTAATGTTTTGACAGGTTTTGGCCAACAGTCTAATATATTTATATTGCATTACCTTATCCTAATGCACTGTTAAGATACAAAATTTTTTAAAGTATTTATGTATCAAGAAAATGACAATGAAAGAATAGCCTAAGAACTCCTTTTAACATAAAGATCAGTATTCAGCGCTACACCATACATGTTAATCTGTAAAATAGTAGATATGTTGCCTCATGTACTATACTGAAATCTACTTCTGGACACAATTAGAGAAACTGGCTGCCTATTAAGAGGTATCTGGTGCCAGTTTAGATGTCTTAGGGTATCCAGTATCTTCATAGAGTTGAATCTGTGGAAGACCTATACCATTCTGGAGCCAGATGAGAGAGTCCAGAGCACTTCAAGGGGCACTAGATGCCAAAGTATGCGCAACTGAATCAAGTCCATACAGTCAAATATTAGATTTTTACCATCAATAACTCTGAATCAAAATGCCTGACAGAGGTAAAAAGTAGAGAATTTACTGCTACAGGAACAATGGGTTAGATTTGGATTAGTTACAGCTGTGTAGCATAATGTTACAGAACACCTACTGGAATCATTGCATCTATGTGGAATGTCATCCAACCCTACAGCTGTACTGTTCTCATCTACGACATTAGAAGATACCTTAATGTTAGTTTTTTGCGAGTTACCAAAACAATTCATCATTTTCACCTTCCCAGTGTTCCTCCACATTACAGCACTGTCCAGCTTTGTCCTCTTTTTCTTCCTCTTCCAGAAATGGTAAAATAGATGTTTGCTCTTCTTCCTTACTAAAACTGATCTCATTATCTTCCATACCGATAGTTCTTTCAAAACAACCAGGCTAAGAAAGAGAAGAGCGCATGGTTTACATATATAATCTTCAAGAACTTGCAATAGTTGACTGTTGTGAATAGTTGAACTTGCAAATGGTGACTATATCTTGAGATGAATTAATAGCACTCAGTAAATACTCAATGCATGTGAAATGATTGGATACAATCACAGACCTTTGTACTAATCACACATTTTTGAGTATCAACTTCGATAAATCTCTCATAGAAAAGAAAGGACACTGCCATTTTTAATTATTTTTTTTAATAACAATCAGTTCAATAATAAAACAAACCTTCTGAATGTATTTTATACACTTAGGCAACCACTTTACTCGGAATGATTAGGGAACAACTCCAACAAACACTACTTGTTCTTGTGTGTTATGCAGTTCTCCAATGTTAAGTAAACTGTTATAAAATGTTGATACAATTTATTAGAATACAGTAAATTGTATCTGTCATCTAGAATGAGTTATTACCACATGGTTGGGCATTTCATCAATATCTGACTCAGAGACTTGTACATATGATTAATTTTAATGAATGCGGTGGCTCGGCTTTGGGTTCATTTATGTAAATCCTTTCGCATAACTCTAAAACATAAACTAGAAGAGAGTAGCTATTTTCTCTAGTTAAGGAACAGAGAAAATACACCATGGAATTTGAAATACGGAACAGACCAACTAAATGATAAGAACTACCTTCACACCAACACAGAATTCCTACACGGGGCTATGGCTGATTTAAGGATGATAGTGGCACTAAAAAGCAACACAAACATAAATGAACTGCCAATGCACCAGTAGTAGCCCAAATACTTTTTGCTAAGCCACTGTACTGTCAGGTAGCGCAACTCCCAACGCAACAGAGCTTTGGTAAATTAGGCCAAAATCTACAGTACGGTAGAAGGCCCAAAGGCCTTCCCTAAGTTAGATGCAAGCCAGGCAGTGAAAGCCACATCGCTTCCACGACCCAGAACGCCGCATGGCACCTGAACCTCGCCTCGTCGAAACACCATCTCGACCTCGGATTCCCACCACATCCCAGCAATACCACACGCAACTCCACGCTACGGGGCACCACCCTGTAAACTGCCAGAAGCCCGCCCGGGGGCCGGCAACACCTCCCTCACCGGAACGCCTCTCTGCTAGCAGCCGCTCACGGGTCAGCCCGCCGAGCGAGCCGGGACCGGGACCAGCCCGACGGCCCACAGCGGTGGCCCCCGCGCGGGGCCGAGGAGACGAAACGCCGTCACGGGGACCACGACGCCTGCCTCCCTCCCGCCGAAGCGGGAAGGACAGGGCCGGGCAGGGCTGGGGGACCGTCCCCGGGACCCCCACCCACCGTCCGGCCGCGGAGAAGCGCTCCACAGACCGCGGAGAAGCGCTCCAGAAGCAGCGGCCCAGCCCGCCGCCACACCGCTCCCTCTCTCCGCGCCTGCACCCGGCAGCCGTTAGATCCGCTGCCAAGGCAACGGAGCAAACCACCGCGAAGGGCGCGGCAGGGGCGCCGCAGAGAGCCCGCCTCCTGTCCGGCTTCCCCGCAGCCGCTGAAGCAGGGCGGAGGTGTTTGCGCGGCTCCCTGTGCCCCCCCCCCCCCCACTCCGCGGGGTGGTGCGTGCCGGGGCGGTCGGCGGGAGCGGCCCGCCCGCAGGCCGTGGCCTACATTGGGGAATGGCGAATCACTGTAGGGTGTGCGAATCCTGGTTCTAAATTCTCCCTTCTAAATTTGCACCCTTGTAAGCACGCAGAATTACAAGATGTAGGGCGGATATTCACGGGTTTATTCAAGCCAATGAACTACAAAGATTTGAACCAGCTGAGCGGTTGATCAGTTTTTGGGCTTTTTTCCCCCCCCCTCGCTTGACGATTATTTTATTTTTAGTAGTGTAGGTTGAAATATGAACTACTATGAAACACAACGTCTTTCCGGCCTTGATTGGCAAGGCTTTTTAATACATTTTTGTGAGCTTTTGACGCGCTCTCTAATATATAAGGGGATGACTGATTCTTCAAAAATACGGCGGCATTAACGCTTCCCTCGCATTAATGTGAATAATTGCAGAGGCGGGAGTACTCGTGACCCCTGTTTAGCCTGACTTGGTCATCTAGTTGGGGTGATCGCAGGTAACTGAAATGGGAGAAATTGTCAGTGAACTTTCAGCTTCGTATTTGTTCTACATACATTTATAAATTTTAGCAAGTTGGTGGCACTATGATTGAAAAAAATCTTTTTGATGAATTCACGTGACCTTCTGCAATGCAGAAAACATATGGATTTGAGGTTGGAGCACGCACATTTTAGAGCACTGAAGATTGCCAAGTTTCAATCCAGAATGAAGCCGTCTTAAATGTCTCTCAGAAATAAGCCTGTACTATTCTGACAATAGGATGTCACCATTAGTTACTAATTGAAGGTTATTAACAGCAAAAATAATGTGTACTTATCATGCCGCCCATTTATAATGCCACACTCTGAATCGTAGAATCATAGAATGCTTCCTCTAGCTTCAGCAGCAACTGCAGGTTTTGAGGTTCCTTGTAACACTTCAATAATCATTAAAAGTATGCACAAAATCACTAAATGAACAAGTGTTTAGATGATATTTCAGTAATTTACATAGTAAAGCCAAATGTCTATATTCATGAAAGGTGTCTCAGTTGGACTACGCTGTTCTTCAGAGCAATCTTCTGAACCTGCGTGTTTGCTACCATGTGTTCCGTTACCAGGTTTTAGCTCTTAACTGATAATTAACTAGGTTTCCTTTCTACTCTATTCCATGTATTACCTTGACAAAGTTAAGGAACAGTGCAGTTCAATTCACAGAAAAGCAGATTCTTGTCCCCTTATTCTTGGCACTAGGCCTAAATGACATGCTAGAGAAATTCAGCTATTCAAAGCAATTCAGTTATTAAAATACTGGGACATCATTCTTTAAGCAGAGCTCTATACCAAAATACACACTGATCTGTATATAGAGATGGAAGGCATTCTCGGATTTATTTAATTGAAAATGTTCCTCGATTGTAAGCAATATTTCTGTAATTTTTTTATAGTTGCTATAAGAAGTAATGTCTGGTTTTTTGATACCATGCATATAAGCACAAGCTGCTAATCTAAGTATTTATTTCCACTGGCACCCACAGTATAGCGTATATATTACTCACAGTGACCAATTAATTGTCCTACACTTATGCTGTAGGTCCTCATTCTTTAGAAATATATGGACATTCTTAGCTCTATAGATGGTGCAATCTGGATTTTATGGCATCTATTCATATTACATAAAACAAATTACATACAGACATTTGCAGGATTAAAGCTACAAGATGTAGGCTAAAAATATGCAGTGATTAACTGTATAGCTCTCTCTGCAGATCTAGAATAGATATAACTGTTGTTAACGCTTAACCTGCCAGTTCTCACACTTCTATCGTCAGGATGTAAAAGATCCAAGCATGTTTTTTTCCCTCAACAAAACACTTGTAAGAATACCTGGCAATATCACTGATTTTCAGTTTCCTGTGATATTTTTATTCGGGGTATTTATTCAGTCCCAGTTTACAACTGTTTGGGTGAAATTCATAACAACATCAACAAAAAATGATAACTGTAGTTTTAGCAATAAATAAATATGAGTTTAACCTCTAAGTTTCCTAAAAACCTAACCAGCACTTGAGTCAAAACAGAATAGCTGATTTGTAACTTTGGTGTAAACCATAATGGATTACAACCACTGCTGCAGCCAGAGACATAGCATTCGGAGATGATTAGAAACTGAACCATCGTTCTGTAGGAAATGTTGACATAGTATTCACTCTGAACTGGAAAAAAGTTCAAATTGCTAGTCCAATTTAATACCGAAATACCAGGTGTTTTGTTATTAAAGTTTTACAGCAGCCCCCTTCCAATCAGCACCAGTCATTTCAGAGTGGACACTACCAGTTACATCTGACTGCATGATTTCCTGGCCACTGGTCATGACTTTGCGTCAGGTGAATAATTTGTCACTAGGGAAAGGCAATCTGGATTTTTATCTCCCATATAGATGCGAGAAGAGAGAAGAACCTGCAGTTCCTCTGAAGATGCTAAATTATGGCTATCCAGACAAGTTCTTATCTCCCAGTCCACAACTTATATCTATCAACTTAAAGTCAGTGAATCTATTCCAGCTTTAAGCTCCAGGAGATGTACAAAAAGGCATCGGTTGATGCTACTCTTCTAAATTTTGTAGGTACTGACCACCAGTGATACATCTCTGAGAAACTGGGTAATGGAGCGAGCATGTATAAATGAAAACCCTGCTGTTTTCTTACTGTGAAGTTAAATTTAGCGGCATTTCAGTGAAGTTGCTTTAGTTCCACCTCATGACGGTTTGAAACTTAGTGGAACTGGACAGTTCAGTTTGCTATATGGCTACATACTGTGCTTCTACAGGCAGTTGGTATTTCTTTTCTGAACGTTTCCAAGGTGACAGTAGCTCATATATGGAGCTTTCTAGCTTTTAGGCAGGAAGACATGCCAATAACGGAATCTTAATTTTTGCGGTGCAGTTCATATCAGATTACATAAAACAACTTCGCTGCCCCTATTCTATGATATGGATCAGCACTGGACTGTAAACAATGGCAAAACATTGATAAGCATCGTACCAATGAGTCATCCTTACAGATGTAGTAAGAAAGAATGAGAGGGGCATTCGCTTTCGGAGCACTCCACAGAGCAAGGACCAGGGATGAAATCAGCTGGGAGTGCACCACTGAGAGCAACACATCTGGAGTAAAATAATCATCTCCAGTCTTGGAACTAGCCCTAGCTCAGGGCCAAAGTGAGGAATTTCATCCCAAATCTGTTGCACAGAGAAAAGAAAAAGAGGGCAAAGTGTCTGGCCGCACTGCGCTTTCTGAATATCAAAAAAATCTATGCAGACTGAGGGAGGAACTGGATGTTCTACGGAACATTTGGAAACAGATAAAACTAGATTTCTCAGCCAGTGCTTTGTGAAAGGTGAAAGGAAAATTAATGTTGTGGTTATACTGATATTTATTCAATACAGACACATTTGTGTTGGGGCCACGGGACATTCATACAGTGCAAGTATAATATTCCCAAATCTCATTTATAAAAATAGGTATGTGTTTGTAATTTATGTATCTAGAGACATTTGGTGACATTGCCACAACAGTCTTTCACGAGCTGTTTATGTGGAATCGTGGGAGAGTGAAACTAATTATCCGTGTGGTATATTTTTTGCCTCTAAAAATTAAATGTGACAATATGACATCTTTACTTTGCTGGCAGTAAAACCACCTGTCCTATTTAGAAAATGCTCTATTAAGAATATCAGGTAATGCAGTGCAACTGTAAAATAAGTTTAAATATTGTCCTTTTGTCCTCAAAATCCTAAGGTAATAAAGGACTATGAAAACTTGTTATTTGGCCCAAATCACTGAGCATGTTTCTCCTCAATCCCATCAAATTATGCCCTCCAATAAATTATTTTACGGTAGCAGTTACAAAAGTATGGATGACTATGATCAGGAAAAAGTCACACCTGTTACATGTTCCAGAAGAAAAGTACTTGACAGATTTTGAAATGGGGGTTTCTGGTTTTAGTTATAGTAAAATGTTACTTCAAAGTTGTGACCTTTGCTTCCTACTTGAGAAAGGGTAAATACTTCAAAAATTAGTAATTGTTAATATAATAATAATAACTAATAATATTGTCCAGATATGGGCAAAGCCCATCAACTTTTGACAGACTGCCACGGTCAGATAATACGGAAATAGTGACCTAGGTATCACGTCGGTCATTATTACATTGCTTTGCCAGATCTACTCTAGCTTTATGTGTACAACAGCAAAGATGAAAGTTTGTTCCAAACTGTGTAACTCTGGCCTGACAACCTGGTCATGTTGGAACATGGTTTGATCCCATGCAGTCTCTGATGATCGATCTGAGCTCCATATGCAAGGTCAGATCATAGGATGGGTATTTTCATAAAAGCTAGCGCCTGCAGCCATACGGATTGAGGAGAGGTAGTAATTTAGTAGAGTGACAAAAAGGCTTAAGAAACATTTAGTATCATGGGCCATCTTTTTAAGAATACTTGACAGTTCCAAGCCAGTAGCTAAAGGAAAGCTTTAATTCTTTTCAAGAGGATTAGATGAGAAAGATTTGGACAGCTTATTTATTTTGTTTTGTTTTGACGTTTTAATAGCAATTTCAATTGTTTTTTAATCTATCTCTTGAGCAATTTTAATCTGTTATTGACTGTAAAGAGTTTGGGATATTCTGCTAGAATTGTAGGAAATTAAATATATTGTTGATCATTATTATTTTATCCCCTCTATTCCCTTTGGCTAATAGGAATTATTAATTTTGAGGGGTGTGTGTGTACATATATATATGTGTATATATATGTAAGAGCCTGTTTTGCTTAAATATGTATTTATATGCAGAAACCACTAAAGCCAAGGCTGAATGACCTAGCATTTGTCCTTCTTCTATATAATATAAAGGATATAATTAAGGCCCATACACGTCAAATGTAATTTATTTATCTGAGAGAAGTTACACATTTATTTTAGGATTTTGTGGGAATGGATCTTAGAACATCTCTTTTTTCTGAAGTACAGACACAAAGTGGTAGCTAAATCAGTCCTGTGAAAATAACATGAGATTTTGTTAAACCCAGGCACTATTACGGTCATGAAGGGAAACTCCCCATATATATTTCCTTCATCCATTATGACATTATTAATCCAAATCTACAGTATAAAACCTTGATCATTCAAGATGATTTCAGCAGTTGGATAAATATGCCTATGCAATGCCCAGTGAAATGAATAGGACAGCTAATTTTTTCCAGGGATAATCAGAACCCTGGTAATATACCTTGATTACCAGTTTTTTTCAGAAAAATTATTAAAATCCTGAAGCTAAACATATTCCCATCACAATTGCATTGAAGATTTTGTGGGCAGTCACCTTACTATTTTTGGCTGTAGAGCTGGTGAAAAAGGAGCATAGAGAAGTAAGAAAGAGAACCATCTTAATGAATTTAGAGAAAATATGTAGGTGATACTCTTCCTCTTTTTCTTTTTTGCAGTATTAGAACCACTGACAGCAAAGAACTTTTTCATGGGATCCAAGTGAGTAAGTTCTGAAAGTGTAGTTGTTGTAGAAATACAATTCTTTCGGTCATGATTCTTTTAGAGGATTGCCATTGTATTTTTACTTGTTTTAATGGTCAAATTTGTAGCAACGTCTCTCCCTTTAGAGCATATGTTGCCATGATGTACTTATACCAACACACAAATACACACACTTACGCACACTTACATGTGTGTTATACACGTATAAAATACACATGTACACACACTCATTCTAAATGTATAAATTGCCTCAGCTGATTTTTGCTATTTTTACAGATGTATGCTGAAGACATAGAAAACTGTTCTTTTTCACTAGTCAGTTAGAGGACAGCTCTCTAGCCAGAGAATAACAATACCAAGGAACTCTCAGAGTAGGTACATAGCTCACTGGAACACCATCCTTAAGAGTAGGAAAAATATGAAAAAAATGTTGACTGAAAATATCCTGAAAGGTGTAAATCTGTTCTGTTATCCAGAGAGACAAAATCATTCAGTTCTCTGTGTCATCCTGTAAATTCCATTACAAATGTTCCGGTTTCCCTCCTCCAAAAAAACACTTTTCATGCAACAATCCAACTACTTGAGCTTAAATGTAGGTCTTTTCCTCCTTAGTGTGCATTAGCTGCAGGCATGACCATTGCAATGTGCAGAGGAAGGAAAAGGTCAGAAAGAAAGTACCCCCCCCATCATCCTTACACGTTTATGACATATGATCTTGTATGTGTGTGTCTATACGTTTGTGTGTGTATTGTGTACATCTGTACATCTCTTCTCCTCCTGGATCCCACGGGGCTGTTAGTCCCCTCACCCACCACCCCTTAGTTGCCGTTTGAAATATTGGTATTAGATAGTAATACAAAATTAAGCATACGAAAAGATAAATCGAACACTTTACCCCAGGTGCATCCTTTCATTTGATTAAGGTGTCTGCACATTCATTTTTGCTTTACGGTATAATTTCTTTAAAATGTCTCCTTCAGAGTGTTTCCTTTGTGGGTTGGTTTTAAAATTGTCATTCTAGATTGAACAGCACCAAAAAGCAGAGGAGGCGGAGGAGGAGAGAAGAAAAGAGCGAATATGGAGGAGAAAATCGAGTTTGACCTGCAAGTCAAGATGAAACCAAACTCCCGAAAAGCCTTCTGGCCGGGTTCCCTACTGACCCTCCTGCGGTGAGTCCCGTTCCTTTAGAGCGAGCAGAGGTCCCCGAGAGTTTGCAAGGCACAAAAGGTGGAAACGTGCACGGCGTTATTGAGCGCTAACGATGTCAGCCCCCGAGCAACCCTGGGATGGAGGATTGCAAACGCAGTTTCACAGCTCCCGGGCTCGCCGAAGTAACCTGAAGCGTTTCACTTTAGAGAAGCCCCTTAGGAAGCTGAGAGCGACGAGGCAGAAGTTTGTAAAACCTTGGCTCTGCCTCTTTCGGGTTCGTACCGCCAGCCTGGGACAGCTTTTAAACAGCGAGGAGGTAGCAATTCCCCCCCCCCCCCTATTCCTACTCCCTCTTCCCTTGGAAAGCTGCTGGAAGACGGGCTGCAGCTGCGCTCGCCCCGGACTTGTGCAGCCGGGATTTGCGCGGGGAGGAACGGAGCGGAGCGGGGGGGCGGGGGGAGGTGGCAGCGTGTTCCCAGCACCCAGCGGCACTCCGGCCCTGCCGTTCGCATCCCCTTTGCCGTGCCGAGCAAACCTCCTCTACGGCTGGATCGCCTCTGCCCTTAGCTCGGGCTGCAGCTCCCTCCTCCTCCTCCTCCTCCCTGGGATGATTTGCACAGGACGGGTCTAGTATCTCCGGAGCGCTTCTACTTTGCTCCCACCCGCGCTCGGTGGGACTAAGCTATCGTTTAATGGGAGGTTATTTTCGGCAACCAGCCTTGCACCCGGGCGGACCGGCCGGAGGAAGAGCCGGGCGCTTCTGAAAGCGGCAGAGGAGGTTTGCCAAAGCAGGGCAGCGGAGCCGGCGGGGTTGTTGAACCGGCGGAGCCCAGCCGAGGTGCCACCCCGCCGAGGAGGGGAGAGAGCTGCCCGGCTACCTGCTCCGTGTTTCTGGCTGCCTGCATGGCTCCCGGGCACTGTAGAGATTGTGGGGGCTGTTGCTGCTGCTGAGCAACAATACATTGCTTTAAACTCAGCCTCAACTTAGCCCGGCAAGCAAGGATGGCAACGCTACTGGAGCTTTGCAGCTGCCAAGAGAGCCAGGGAACCTGGGTTTTGTGTGCCACTGTCTAATGTATGGGAGTAAAATGGAATTTCTTACCTGGGTTTTTCCTGCCTTGGTTCTACTGTGCACCCAACAGCACAGGTGTATCAGGTAAGAAGACGCTTTATCGTTCTTTCTTAGGCTGGCCTTAGACAGCCGTTCTTTCGGTGTGGCTGGGGTGAAAAATGCCAGGTCTGCCGGTAGCTCCCACTACCACTTTTGCCCAGGGATGCTCTCCATTTACGGGCTACCACTGCTTTGAGTGAGTGTTCAGTAGAAAAAGGGGTCCTGACTGAAGAGTTTCCTCAGTGTGCCCCATCCTTTTTTTTTTCTTCTTTTTCTAGCAGAGGATGCACTTCAGCCAGTTGGGCAGCAGTTTCTTGGGTTAATCAAGGGGTGTGTTTTTAACAGGATGCCTGTGGAAGCCTTTTCCCGAGGGCACTTACTCTAAATTGGGGGCAAACACTTTTTGTAATGGCACTGCACATCCCAGCGCAGCCTCATCCCCTTAAACAGCTCTGTAGGGGGCCTGCTTGAACATGAAACTCTTCCATGAAACCCAGCACAACCAGTGGGGTACTAACTGAACATCTTTGCTTAGGGCCTCCATAGGTACAATTAAAAATCCCAAAATACAGGCAGCCCTTTCTAATGGGTTCATTAAGTGTTTTGAACTTGAGATAAGAGGAAGAGACTGGCAGAGATCTTAGAAAAAACGTTTGAAGAACGCCAACCATTTCTTAAAATAAGAAATTGTAAAGATATATGTTTGCAATTCTCAGTCACATTTATTCTGAAGGTGTTAGCTAGGCAACCAGCTATGTTCTCTATATATTCTCTACAGATCTGGAGGCTGCATGTGGAGAAAGCTTGCCATGATTATGCAATGAAAATAGAAGGGGGAATAAAAAAGAACTTGCCGCATGTAAAAACATGCCTACATCATCCACAGCAGAGATGGCTGTGGTATTAAAGGGGTCTTCCTGCTTCTACTTTATAGACATTATTAATAGCTTCAGAGGAGTATAAGAAGCAAAGTGATAATTGTAGTAAGACATAACATTGCTGTTACAGTTTTTGGAATTAATTAGTGCAATCTGATTTTTTCACTGGGAAGGAAAAGGATCTTGCATTACAGGAAGTGTCAAGTCAACTGCTCTTATTCAGGACTGACATAATGATTTATCTTATGACCTTGAATCTGTTATCCAGGGTCAGATCCTGACACCCTCATGCTCTGAAGCAATCCAGTATTACAGTGAAGGCAGAGAAAATACTGCTTATGACCTAAGGGCATCAAGATCTTGCCCATAATTTCAGTGATCCTGTTTCTCTATCTGCTCTTGGGCTAGCATTAAGCATTTTAGTTGAAAAGTGGTGTTTGAGTATAAAAGAAAAAAAAGAATTATAAGGAAGAGTCAGCCTTAGCCTCTGTCTTCAAGGTCTGTTTCTAGGCACAGCAACTGCCAAGATATGTGCAACCTATAATTTGTTGGATAAATTATTTTATATTTGGATTAATTACCTAGTTACTTGACTTTCTTCCTCCAGTTACACAATAGTGATGAGCTGTTTGTTAGAAATATAGATATATATACGCATGGCAGAGAGTAAGGCAAGGCAAATTCTGGCTTGTGAAATTCCAACTGTTCAGTTTGTAGTAGTTTTCCAAACATGCCAAAGTGTAAGACATTCAATGGTCAAAGAAAGCTGCTCTGTTTAGTACAACAGTTTTCTGAAGATGCAGGATTTAGGATGGCTATGGCAGAACATGGTTTAATCTTATAAAAAGTGAGTAACCTTGCTTACACGTGTACTTTCGATGAGTTAAAGAGAACGAAAACAGAATTTTGTCCTTGCATCAGTAAAATTACTCACACATAGATGACCTATGAAATAATTCCCCTTGTAAGGGCCCAAGAAGCACATTAACTTCCTTATTCTTCTTCCTTGGAGTTCTGTAATATGATATTACATATAATTATTTTTGGTAAGAGATGCTTTTATGAAGAGCAGTATTTTATTAATACTGTGGTTTTATAACAATGGGCAAAACTGCCAATAGCTACATTTTATTGCTCTGATTTTGTTTTCTGAATGTAACGTGATCCATGGTTACAATGACAGAGGCCACCCAACACCACTAAGTTCTCTGCTTGGGAGTTCTATGGACTGTATATTGACAGGTGTAAGCAAAAACATATTCAAAAAAGGAAGAACATTTCAGCGAGTTCTGAACTCAGTGGTATGACATAAGACTTCCCAAAGGCAAAACTACCTATTAAAATAATGTTAAGGTTTGGCAGAGGAGGGAAGTGGGGAATACATGTAGCCTGCTTCCTCACAGCATTTTTGAATATCCTTTCAGGGTGCTTTAGAGGGCTGTATTTGAAGCAATTTCTCTGTCATGTGTGCTATTTGACTGAAGTGAATGAGCCAAATTCAACCTAAGTCAGCACATCCTACTTACGCCAGTGCTGTTTTCAGGTAAACACTTTTAAAAAGTAGTATTTTGTGGTCTGCTTGAGGCAGTGATTAGCGGCAAGAAATTTGGCATTCATATGATTGACAGCTCTTTGGGGCAAAGACGGTAGCTTCCATTATTTTATCAGAGTTTGATACGCTGTGGATGCTGCAATAATAAATGTGTCATAGTGAATGAGATCATCTGCTGAAAGACACTTAGTGAAACATTTCTTCATTTGCGCGGGGAAAGAGTATATTGATAGGAGTTTTGGGGTGTATGTCCGTACTTCTAATTCTTTACTGGAAGAGATTTTAATTCTCTAATTAAAAATAGGTGTATCTTTTATATTTAGGATTCTACTATGTTAAATGACTTTTATACATTTGCATAGAATTGTCCTTCTGTTGTGTGTCTCCCCCAGCCTTTTACTGCTATTCATAGAAACAGAGCAGCTTTAACACATGAATATAAGCAAAGAATGGTCCATTTTCTGCAGCTTAAAACTCACAGAGAGGAAATAAGGGCTTTTATGTTCAAAAGGTTGCCACGAATTAAGCCTAATGCTTTTTCAATTACATTTCAAAATACGAAACATATTTACAGTGAGCTTCACTTAGAGTCAGGAATGGCAGATGGGAAGGATACACATACTGCTCTGGATAATCCTGGACTTTGACAGAGGCCAGATTCTTCACTGACCTTGCAGGATATTCCTTGTCTTTTTCCAAAGGAAAAGTTTTCTTGAGTGGCAGTGACATCTGGGACATTTGCCCCCAAAAGATTATCTCAAAGAAAATGAAATGTACTCCATCCCAGTCCTCAGTATCAGTCAAACCAGTATTTCCATCTACCAGCTTAAAAGATTGATATAACAACTATGTCACAGTCCTAAAAAGAATCAGGTTAGCAGATTTAAAGAAGAAACAGGAGAGGCAAAAAGTGATTTTCCACATGTTACTGCTATACATGTTTGTCAAAAGGTTAGTGCACTCTCCCTCCAAGTGTGACTTAAAATCAGTATCTCATTGGCCACTGACTTAAAGATGCTGCTGAGCTTTTTGCACTGCTGTGCCAAAATAGTATTGCTAATGTTACCTCTTGTTCAGCTGCTGTAGTGCACTCATTCACACAGAACATATAGATTGCCTCTTTCCTTGGTGTAATTTAAATACTTGCCAGATTTTTTCTAGTAATAGTGATAAATTTCTAGCAACCGTTTTCAAGCAGTGTTCTGGAAGAGTGAAGACAGGCTAATACCTCACTTGCCTGACAAGATGCGCTGTCCAAGTTGATTGATGCTTCTCCTCAATCACTCCACATTAGTAGAATGCAATGGTCCTGCAGCAGCTCAGAGAAAGATGTCAGCTTGGATAGAAAGGATTTGGGGATATATGTACTTTTTATTCTAGAACTGATAGTACTTAGCTCTGAAAGAGATGTATTTCTTTGTCATTTGAGATTAATTGCTTGTAGTTGCCTTCCCTAACCTGTGTCAGGGACAGTTTTGTTAGGCAAAGAAGAACTCGTAGTTTTGCCAGGTTTATCAATGGTGATTTCCTCTCCCCTTTGTCTAGTGTGCAAGACAACTAACTGTTCTTTTCATATTTTAAACAGCAGCAATTTGTTTTCTACTGCTAACGAGTTCTGTTGAAGTTCTCACAATGCTTGAACTCCAGATATGGACAGATGCAAATATATTCTCCAGAATATCTGCTTGAAATGAGATGTGTACAGAGTCAGAGTATGGATGGAAAACTATCTTCTTCAGCTTTAGATTTGGAACGACTTCCAGAGTGATATTAGTACACATGACTATGTTGCTATTCAGACAGCTAGGCACCCCACTCTGGCCTGGTGCAAAGTAAAGATAAGCTTTTTGATGAGCTGTTATGCCCTGTGTATTTTACAAATCAATAGCTTAATTTTACCAAGTCCTTTTCTTACTAAAACAAGCTTTACAGCAGCTTACATCAAGAAGTGAACTTGCTGAATCAACTAATAGTAGTTTCCTTTCTTTTCATCTTTACTGCTTACACTATGAAAAGTTAATCCTTTCCAATGTGTCTTTTCTATGCTGGTCTTCCTTTTTCAGGTACAATAAATGAATAATATTTTAGGCCATATATAATCCCAACTACTTATCAAGGATGAATGAGATTCTCCAACTGTCCTTCATGTTAACTTAAGCACTGGATCTCATGTGCAGAAGTCTAGAGGAATGGCTCAAAGGAGTTATCACAAACTGGCCTGTAAAGTTCCATGAAAATAAAGGTCTGCTTTCCAAAGTCATCATTTTTGACTGAGGACTGCTATACTATCTGTTAATATTCACACTTTTGTCTTCATCAGATAAAAAAGAAATGAAAGTATTACAGGTAGAATAATGTTCTTGAGTTTGTTATTTCACCTCTCCCTTAATATTCTTGCGGGATAAAAAAAGAGTGGAACAGGAGATTTCTACTATGCTGGAGTACCTGGATGACTTTAGACCTAAAGAGCACAGACCAGACTGACACAAGCAGAGCTTGAACTCGTTTACACCATGCTGAATCATACACCCAAGCATACAGCCCCTGCTACATTAGTTCTTATGTCTGTATTATTTCCCTTGCTCCATCAGCCTCCATGTCTGTCTAACAAAATG